TGTGCATTTTTTTTGTATAAGATGGGCATTGGTTCTTTTGTTTGTATATGTGGTTTGATTTTAAAGCAATCGAGTCATTTTTCCTTTTATATAATGTCTCATAAAGCAGTTTGTGTACGTGGGCTATCCGGCTGTATCGTCACACTCTCGCCTTATCCATTTGAACCGGGCCTGAATATTCATTGGTTTGTACCTTCCAACATTTGACTAGCTTATATAATTCGATCATGATGCATGACGTGACAGCCATGTAACAAACAAAAAACGAATGATATTCTCTAAAAATATATCAGAATGGTAACGTTCAGCACAAATGCGACACAGTTCAAATAGTAACAAAAAAATATATAAACATATAGATATATATAGAGATTTTTGTTGTTATTCATGTCAGTGTGGTGTAGTTGGTTACCATTCGAAGCCTTGCTAAGTAGCAATATAACGATGTAACTGATGATTAACAATTCCTCACCATATAAAACAACAAAAAGGCAAGAGGAAAATTAGTGAGGATGTATCATACATTTACATATAAGTACATCAATTAGTCATGGTTCCAAATATCCGTAAATTTTATCAACGTGAGGATGGACATAGCAAATTAACCGCTATTATCATTGATTGAAATGGTGACCAAGTTTGTTACATTGCTAGACTAAGACTTATAACATGGATTTGTTAAAATATCTCACGACTGTTGACGGGATTGTGACTACATTTTCATCACGAATAACGTTTACCGAGCAAGTGACTAGCTGGCTAAGAAGTCAATGGTTAACAAGTGTGACTAAATGTTTAGCAAAAAAAAAAAAAAAAGAGTTGTGACTAAATGACAATGAGTTACAACATATGTTGCATGGGATAGCGAGGCAGACATTTTTTGTAAAACTTCGGTGATATATTATAATCACTGTCCATATATCTTATATATTCTCTTCTATAAACTTGTATACCTTAGAGTTACTAATATATTAGACGTTTCAAAACGCTAATGGTTAGGCAGTTATCCATTTGATGTCTAGTTTTCTTGAATATAACATAACACGTACGTAAACACGTAGACAATTGATTGAGATTGTATGCGGATATGTTCAAAATTAATTTCTGTATGCGGGGACCCAAACAGTCAAATATGTCATTCGTGACGTGACGTGACGTGACGAAAACAAGTAGACAAGGCAATGACCAGTTGGCTTCTAGAGTTGTGGAGTGTACAGAGCTCTAATATTACCAGAAAATTCGATATGTTCTTTCTCTGCTTCATGGGTTTCTAGAACGTATTATATTTTAATCCCAAGAAAGACCCCAGTTGAACATTTTTTTTAATCTCTGAATATCCACCTGGTTTAAAATTCTTATTGGTTAGAAGCAAAGAGAGATTCTAAACAAACATAAAATATGGCTTCTAGAAGCCAGTGTGTATAAAACATTTTAGTAGAAAGGAGCTTGTACTCGTTTTATCATTATATTTTTCATTTGTTGGTGTATTTTTTAATTAGTCTATGGGCTGGACATTTGACGGCAAAACAAGTTTCAAAACCTTTGACGCTGAGCTTAGATTCTTACATTCTCATCACAGATTACGTGAGATTAGTCAATGACTCAATGGGGTCACCCTTAGTATTTCTTAACCTAGTTTCCAAGATAAATCAATGTCTCAATTTCATATGACAAAAGAAAACAGAAAAAATAATGACAAGAAATTAAAATAACTTTGTTTCGAAAATTCATCTTTACTGTTTAGGGAGCACTGAATAATAGTTTGTAAACATGCAAAGGACTATTAGTTGTTGAAAACGAGTCAAAATAAATCATTCAATCCTCTTATTTTTCTTTCCCTGACCGAGAGTTTAAAACATGATTTTGTTTTAAAAGAACATAAAAATTAAAAAATATCAAAAGTTAAAAAAAAATTATTTTATATTTTGATTTCGAGATAATTTTAGAGTCTAGTTACTATAACTTAATATTAAAGGAGATAGAAGTAAGGTAATATTTATGATTTAACGTACACTATTTGATCATAATGTTTTTGTTATCTAAAGAGATATTTGCTCTTTAGTGATCCTATCTAATTCTGTTCATATGAAAGGAAAATTAATCTTTGAACTTTGACCATTATTTCGAAGAAAATGATAGATGAACTAATAAAAAGCTAACACGAGGGTGAAAACTCCAGTGTACTGATTCTTATGCTTTATATAAAGTTCCACAAAGCCAATTAAACTAGTCTATATTTTATCAAACGATGCGTTATAAAAAATGAATTTTAACACGTTAATTAGTTGGTGGGTGGATATTTCATTTTTCCAAAAGCATTGCTGAAGATGGTAAAGCTAAAGAGAAAAACTTATATATCATCTAGAAATCTATCGCACTAAATGTATATATTTTCAGCTACGAAGTAGTATTATTCTTAAGCTAGATATTAATGGAAAGGATTGAAATGTCAAAATAAGTCGACGTGTATACAGCAGGACGTGATATGTCGGAATGCACAGAATAAGTTCAAATGTTCGATTGAATCAACTCATTTTATGTATTAATTAATATATTATTGAAGGCTGTCTTGTCTGCATTTCATGGAAAATGAAAAGACATGATTCTAATAGACACATGAAGACATACGTTGTATCTAGAAGAGGTACCAATGCAGACATCTTTGGTTGGTCTACTGATTTTAGCTACTATCTTATAAATATCCATTTCTAGCAGCAAAACTCATACGTATATTTACACAGAAAGTTCTAATCTTCTTTTACAAATAAGTTCTGTTTCGGCTTATTATTGACACTATTTTCATAGATACTAATATTATATATGAGAATAATTAAGGAATTGGCATAGAAGCTTCCAAATGATTTGGTGCCACTTCAATTCATTAAGGAGATATGGCATCATAGGATTCGTCAGCTAACTGGATCCAAAGCTTTATCATGCTGGATGAACATCTTTAAGATATAACCATTTTATTTATTTTTGTGGAAGGAGAGAAAACATATTAACAGAAAACCGACGTTGTTTAAGCTAGTTTTTTTCAACATTTTTAATTTGAAAATCGATTGGATTGATAATCATAAATAATATCTTGATAAAAAATAACACTGTCACTAATTTGACAAGGCTGTCTTTTTTTTAATATTTAAATAAATAGGGTGATATTTATAAATATTTTATATCTAGCCATCTAAACACTAGTCACTAGTTATATCTACTTAATTCTGTTTTTGTTTATTGTATTTTTCCGTCGACATTTCCGTCCCCAGGTTTCTCAAATAATTTTAATAACAATACAAAAAAATAATCTGAATAAGAGCCTTTTGTTTTTTGTTCATAATATAAAAGGACCCATATTCTCCCATATTCTCATCTATTGTCTCTTCACCTCTTTAAAAAAATCAAACATCTCTCTCTAGTGTCTACACTACAAGCTCTATGCCCCAAGTCGATCTTGAATCTCTTGTTTCTTCAGTATGCTCCGGTGGCTCCGACCGGAAGATCACATGCGAGTCAACCTACGTCGACGACCATGAAACCAAACCTTACTACAACAACTCCTCCGCGAGTCCAACTGATTTTCCACCGGAATCTTATTACATAACCAAAGATGCTCCTCAGCTCGAGTGGCTCACCGACAACGCTTTCTTCGACCGCAAAGAATCACAGAGAGGAAGCTCAGCGAACATCAACTCCAACCCTAACTCGAACCCTAGCTCTCAACGGTTTCTACTCAGCTCCAAAGCGTCTATCATCGGTCTGCCGAAGCCGCAGGACACGTGTTTAAACGAGGCGAAGCAGAGGAGAAACGGCGGGAAAAAAAAGGAGAAGAACAGAGTCTTCTTGAAACGGGTCGGGTCGAGGTTGAAGTCGGATCCTTCGCAGCTCGAGCCTTCTTCTCCTAAAGTCTCTTGCACCGGTAGGGTGAGATCGAGAAGAGAACGTAGCCGACGTATGCGACGTCAGAAATCGGGTCGACCGGAGAAGGCTAACCGGGTCAAGAAACCCGGGTTATTAGCGAGTTTCAGAGCTATTTTTAGGAGCAGAGGAGGCTGCAAAGATGGGACCCACACGACGCCGATTATGGCACGTGACGATATCAGGAGCCGGCTTCCGGTGGAAGAGGTTGAAACGGTGGTGGTGGTGCCCGGTTTAGGTGGGATGAACCGGTTTGCTTCTGGAAGGAGAGGGGATTTGTTGGGTGGATGTTGACAAGTGTAATATTTAGTGATTGGTCGTCTTGTCCGGGTTTTGGTGGGACCTGTGTTTTAGTTATTGTTAATATGTGTTTTGAGAAGTCGTTGGCGCTGACGTGGCGAGTGGTTAACGTTTTTCAGGAACACGGCACCGCGTTGGCGGTGTGATTCCTTACCCACCCAAGGTTTTTGTTTTCTTGTTTTGGTAGTTAATTGTTACAGAAATATATTTATAAATATGGTTATAGGTTGTGCTTACACATCACACAGAATCAAAACGATTTTTCCATTTTAAAAAATTAGAATATATTTTTTTTAAATAGGTAGACATTAGCCTAAAAAAATACTCTATTATAAAACGCTTAAGTAACTGTCTAACAATTCTTTGAACATTTGATATCTTATTTGTTTTTGTTAATTAAGAAATTAAAAGAATATATATAAAATTTAAAAATTAATCAAACGCATAAAACAAAAATTAGAATTCTGAAACAATCTATATATATAAAGTAAAGTTCATTCCCTCCTGGGAGAGCCACGTCATCAATTCAGAACCCCCGAGCGTGACACGTGGCAGGTGACGTCAAACCGTTGCGTTTCGGTGAGTGTTCCGTGTAATCTCTCGGGCTTATAATTAAAATGGGCTATTTTGTATCATCTTCACTTACAGCCCATTAGAGACATCCGTCCAGACGAAACGCAGCGTTCGCAGTCACGGTTACATGAGTTCTCTTCTTCGCCTCTCCAGAGCTCGGGTTTATTAGGGTTTTCTCGATCGATCTTTCGTCTTCTTCGTCGCATCGCGAGAGGATACCAGTTACTGATTGATGGCGTTGAGAATCTCCATCAATTCATCACCCACGATCTATATTCAATGCGAGCGGTGATTATGCAAGGCGGTGGATGTGTTACTATAAAAAGATAAGCTCTCCCACCTTGATAATCACTACTTTCGATAACCTCTCCCACCTCAAGTAATAATCTCATCATCTTTCCCCTTGAGATGAGCTCCGAAACGTCTGGAGACGGCGGCGAACAATCTGCTTCCGCCGGGACGAGCGCTGGTCCATCACCGTCATCATACGATAGACAGAAGGAGAAGGCACGAGTGAGCGGAACGTCTCTGATCCTATGGCACGCACACCAGAACGCCGCAGGAGCAGTTCGTAAACTCCTGAAGGAAGTTCCGTCTCTGGTTCACGCCAGAGGCTACCACAAGCGAACCCCTCTCCACGTGGCGTTGCTTCCTAGATGGATCGATGTTGTCAACTGCCTGGTCGAGTTTGTCGCTAATGTCAACGCTCAGGACAGGTGGAAGAACACGGTAATTGTTTCTCCTTTTTGGTTCGGTTAGTAGTTGTGATTCTTTGTCGTTATCCTGTTTCACCTAAGTGTTTTGTGTTGTATGTGTTTTGAAGCCTCTGGCTGATGCAGAAAAAGCTAGGAAGCAGAAATTTGAGTTATTGAAATCTCATGGTGGTTTATCTTATGTGAGTTTTTGTATCTCTTTTCATCTCCTACAGCTTTTTAAGTTAGAAATTTTCATTAGTTTAAAGTACTTCTTACTATGGAATATTACAATATTATTGCAAAAATAATTTTTAACGTAGGGTCAAAACGGTAGTCACTTTGATTGGGAGATTGAACATGTTGAGCTGGATTTCTCTAATGCTGCCATGATTGGAAAGGTTTGTTGTTTTCTTTTGAAACCAAGTTTTGATCTTAGTAATCCTCCATAGTCTAGAGTTTAGTTTAGTGCAATGGACTAATTGGATCATGGTAACATTCTGTCTGTTAGAGTTCATTTGGTGAGATAGTAAGCAACCCCTGTGTAATATGGCTCAAGTTTCAGTCTTCCTTTCTGATTTGCAGATTGGCCGTTCTTCCTCCACCGTTCAAGTGCAGTTGTTCCGTTTCTGGGTTCTCAGGTATCTTCTTACACTCCTCCTTTGATTTGTAAGTATTGTTTATTCACCGGTTATATTATTTACACATTCTCGCCATCCTGAATCTAGCTACAAAATTAATTTTTTAGAAAACCTGTTTCTGTTCTATTTTGCCTAACGCAGCCGTTTGTTTATAAGACGGAGCTAATATACTGGTTTGGTGCTTTAACAATTTTTTCCGTCCTGGATCCGTATTCGTTAATTTTAAAGTATTGCTTAAGTTTGTTGTGAACATTTTCTTACTGTGACGTTATGGAGATAGTGATGATTGTTGTATTTAATTCACATGTATTTAGGCCCCATGATGCTGGCCTCCGTGAACGTCCATCGGCTTCCCACACACAAGCCTAATCTGAAAGCGGGTTCGGTCTACTCTTTAACCGGGTTTGATGTAACCAAAACTACAGGTTATTGGACTCTTCCATGCTAATCCGTTCTAGCTAAAAAAGTTATTTTGGGAATTGTAACGAGCTTATGATATGAGAGGGCGGCCTTAGAAGTGAGCGATGATGAGCTTGAGATCGTGCGGAATGCCTGGTGTTTTGCTGCTTCAAAAAGAAATTCCAGACTCCATCAACGTTTAAGTTGTTAAGGTTCGAATCAAGTTTTAATTTTAAATTTATTTGATTACAATCTTGAAGACATTCAAAGGATGCATCTTTAGGTTTAGATAAATCAATGGTGTCGTTGAAAAGATGTAGCATTTGGAACTGGAATGTGGATTGATCATATACTATTTGAATCATCATGATGAGATTGCCAATGGAATATCATGTTGAGTATGATTTTCTAAGTAACTTAGGTTGTTTGGTGGATGTGTTACAGGCTGTGAAGAGAGTAGTTGTTCAGGTAGTCCTTGACGTGGGGGGAATGGATACGCCAATCCCTAATCAGCTATTGGATCGAATGAAACTGAGCTCATTCGCTTCACCGGAATGCATACTGAAACTTTTGAGCATATTAGCAAGGTTGTTGCAAAATACCACAAGTTAGTATGTACGTATTTCTCTGTCCATCACTCCCTCAACATCTTCAGTCACCGAGCCCTATAAACTACGCTCCACTGCTCCTCCGCCTCTTCTCTTACCGGTGGCCATTATACTGGAGCTGTGAGTCTTTTGGCCGGTTCTACTCGAGATGTGTACGTGTGCACGACATTGATCGGATCTCCTTCGCTGCTTCCCCTCTTTTTCCTCTGCTTCGCCTCTCCTCTCCTCCGGTTCGAGTTACTCCCGGACGAAGAGTCACTTCTCCACTGTGTATCTCCGTGTTACATCAGAACGGAGCCTAACACCATCTCTCCTCTCTGCTGTTGTATCCCTTTCCATTGTATACATGGATCAATTTTTACGGTGACTATCACTATGACACTATTCATATTTGGAAGAGATACCTCAATGAAAACAACTGGCTGTTCATCAGCAACATTTACATGAGTGGACTTCTTCATTCGTCAATGATTGTACTCTCTATTTCCGTAATATATCAGCATCTATATGACAATTCCATTATTTACACAATCACAAAGATGTTTATTACATACTAAAGACTCTATAAATTAATAATATTAAAACTGTAAAATTTTATTAATTTACAAAAAAAATTAGGTGTACTATTTTACAATACATTTTTTATAAAACAAAAAAAAAGTAATTGAAACATTAAATAAATTGTAGAAATTTGATTTTTATGTAGTTTTTACTATATATATTATATATGATATATGATATGTTTCATAGAATTTAAAGGGAATTTAGATATAATTAGTAAATATTATCAAAATATATTAATGCATTAAGAAAAAATAGAAATTAACTACATTGTGAATATAAAAATAAATAATACAATTTTTAATTTTTATTTATATAAACAGTATGTATATAAAGTAATTTATGATAAAAGAAAAAAATGGTTTATTTAATCTTCAAATACAATAATATATAAAATATTTAAACTAATATGTATTTTATAATAAGTAACAATTATTACTATATATTTACTTTTATTACTTTACCAAAAATTGTGCTTTCTCCCGCACATAACCAAATGAAAATTATTTATCCAGTAATAACATTCAAAGAAAAAGAAAAATTAATTCAAAGATTAAATTTGTTAAGGTGCTAATTAAAAATTAATACCTTAATAATGAAGTGTACTACTGTCTGGATCAACAGGTCATTAAATTGACTGTTACCTGATTCGTGAATTAATAAATTAGTGAAGTAATTATATATTCATATATAAATTTTATAAATATAAATCAAAAGTAAAAATATTGAATTAATTTTTATTTGTATTTGCATAGGTGATATCAAAAGAAAATTAGATTTAAAAGGCTGTTCCAGGTAAACCTGTCAAAGTGAGCAAAAGTAGAATCATAAGGTTTAGCAACGCATGAGTGTAACCTATTATTCTTCTCCATCTAGAGAAGATAGACTGTTCCTTGAGTGATCAATTCCGCAACGATCAATTTGCTTTCAAATTTGTTTAGTCAACATTATTGCGTTGACAAAAAAAAACTAACAGTAATTTTTATTCATATTAATGATATATTTTATATTCCATCATAGCATATTTGAAAAAAAAAATCTGTTGAAACATAACATTGTTTGACTCCATTTTCAAAATTGATCAAACCATCTAAAAAGCACTCAAAGCAAAAATAAAGTTTAACAGTCGTTGATTTAACATATGTAGAACTTTCAATTAAAGAATCATTTGCATCATTATAAGATTTCATATATCCGCGTAAAAGTATCTTATTCTAAGGATTTAAGATCATTTGAATCCATTTTCAAAATTGATCAAACCATCTAAAAAGTACTAAAAGCAAAAATAAAGTTTAACGGTCGTCGATTTAACATATGTAGAACTTTCAATTAAAGAATCATTTGCATCATTATAGGACTTCATATATCCGCGTAAAAGTATCTTATTCTAAGGATTTAAGATCATAGGTGAACTAAATCTAAGACTTTATATAGCTACAGAATAGTATTATCGAAAATAATATTTTCCAGTTGTCGATTTATATGCCAAACCTTCAATTAAAAAACCATTATCACCATTATAAAGTTTTATGTAGCCGCGTAAAAGTATCTCACCCTAAAGATTTTAGATCATGGGTAAACTAAATATAAAAATTATTATCGCTCTTAATAGTTGAAATATTATGTATATTGAAAGGAAATAACTATAAAAAGTTTGATCTATCATAACCAATTACTTACTTTCATAGCCAAGTAAAGCGAATATTAAGAAAAAATCAAATGTAGCCATTAGCATTTTCATATAATTTTAAAATGACAAGATAATAATAACAAAACAAATAATTTAATTTAATGTTATTTTAGTTGAAATAAAATTATATTTAATAATTTCATTAATATTTAAGATGATTTTATATTATTTATTTATTTATGCGCCCGCCCGTAGGGCGGGTTACCCCTAGTGTTAATATAAAAAAAAACAACGTTGATATAGTTGGTAGATTTCAGTTGTTATTATTGGAACGAAGAAAGTCAAATTAGCAATGAAACAATTCCATGCAAAATATTCAACATTCTTCCAGATATTTTTGACTTTTTCACACATATTAAGTTGCATCTTTTAATCTTAGACAAATAAAACAAAGCAAAAGACTGAATTTTTTTTGACTCTTATGAGTGGAGTGCTGAAGAGGGTTCTTGTTGCTGGTGATGCCAAGCAACAACATCTTTGTAAGGTAGATTACCACCAAAAATGTCCAAGGCACTTCCCACCGTTACATCCACACGTCCCTTTCCTGCTTCTTTGATCCTCTCTACATCAGCCATCACCGTCACGCCTCCCGCATAAGTTACTGGAATCTGTCAAAATCAAAACTACATATGAGATGTCTAAATGATACTAAAAATCAAGAATATGTGTGTGTTACTGACCGGAGAATAGTTGCCAAGCAATGCAACAAGCTCTTCATCAATCCCTAGCCTTGAGAAAACAAGTATTAGGATCAGTTACACACTGACTTAACATAGTAACTTCANCCTCCCGCATAAGTTACTGGAATCTGTCAAAATCAAAACTACATATGAGATGTCTAAATGATACTAAAAATCAAGAATATGTGTGTGTTACTGACCGGAGAATAGTTGCCAAGCAATGCAACAAGCTCTTCATCAATCCCTAGCCTTGAGAAAACAAGTATTAGGATCAGTTACACACTGACTTAACATAGTAACTTCAATTAAAAATGAATACATTCTAGGACACAGAAAAGCACAAAGCTTACTTCTTTCCTTCAACATCAACACCATGCACCAGAAACTCATCTGCAAACCCTCCAAGAAACTCCAATGATTTCTCATCAAGCAAGACGTCGCTGAACTTCTGCCATCTATCGGTAACAATCGCGTATCTTCCATCCTGTTATAAAATGGGATAAAACATGTCATAAAAACATCAAACTGAAGATGAAACATGTCAGAGAATCAATCACCTTCTTTCTGCAGCTAAGGTCCAATATCAATCGTTGCTTCCCAACAATCTTCACAAGATCTTTCAGTCTTTCCAGATCAAGCTTCCCATTGTTAAACACATACTGAAAAAAACATCAACAGTAGTAAACGTTATTACAACTAACACAAGTCCCTATGATAACACATTCAAAAGAGCCTCAGATATAGCTTTACCGAAGTGACAATAACATGACTTGCTCCCTCCTCTATATAACTCAAACAATTCTCTGAACTGATTCCACCTCCAACTTGCAATCCGCCTAGAATTCATCGTCTGATTAAAATGGAAAAAACTTTACATTTTCAAATCAAACAGTAGGAATAACCACACAAAAAGGCATACCGGGAAAAGCATGTAACGCTCCAAGAGCTGCAGCTTGGCTTAAAGGGTCTGCTCCAAGCATTATCACATGACCACCAGTAAGCCCATCTTCTTTGTACATCTTTGCATACTCTTCCGCAGATTTGTCTGATTCGAAGTTCGTAACGAGAACCGAACCATCTTCTTTTAAGTCACTTAGAGTGGATCCAACTATTTGTTTCACTTTCCCCTTTTAAAAACAGTGATATGATCTTAGCTAAGTTACATCAAAGCAGAGAGTTTTATCTAAAAAAAGGATTCAGCTTTTAATACCTTGTGGATGTCAATGCAAGGTCGGAACTGAACAGAGGATATGACTTGTACTCTCGAGCGTCCTACAAGACCTGTTTAAAGATTCATTACAGAGATTTAGGAATCTGTGTAAAAAGCAAAACTTGGAACATGCTGTACGTTTTGTCTTGATGGAAAACAATGATCCGGAGAGTTTGAGATGTTTGTTGGACGGAGAGGTCTGGTTCTTGTGGAAACAAGAGATACCACCATTGGAGTATAATTGAGAGCTCCAAGTTCTCATCTTTGGAGCAGGTGTACAATTCAGGTAGGTGAAGATCTATGGCATTTCTGGTTTTACGTCTGGTTATTTAGGTGTGGCATGGGTTAGTTAACCGAACCAAAAACCTAAACCAATTGCAAATAGATACGAACCAAACTGAATAATCCTAAACATCTGAACAATTTCTATTTTTTATTTATTTAGTACATGTAGAATATCTAAATTAAATTAAAAACCATATATAATTTTCATAAATATAATTCATAAATTTAGTGAAAATATGTAGAACTAAATGAAAAAACTAATTTATCCAAATAATTTCATCGAAATATTCAAAATAATTTAAAATTACTTTTATATTTACATGAATTATTTATTATTTTTCCAAAACTAAATAATTGAATTTTTTAGTATTAATCGGTTTTTAGTTTTAGTATCCGTAATAAATCGAACATAAAGCTATCCGAACCGTTACAAACCGAAATTTTCTTGGTTCTTTTTCTTATTCAAACTAAGCCATATCCAAAACAATCGACCAGGACTGAACCTAAACTTAGAAGTTCGGTTTACACTTCGGTTTATTCCGGTTTTTTTTTTTATAATTAGAGATGGTTTGTTTAACTGGAAACGGCTAAAGTCACTGTCTTAAGGTTTCTCCGACCAAAAAGAAAACAGACCGATGAGATGGAACAAGAAGAACGTCATCAACCTCGTCTCAAACTCCACTCACCTCCCCGCTCCCATCACCCCGCCGCCACCTGAGATCTACAGATTACCTCATCCTCTACCCAAGCCTCCTACCAACAACACCCCCATCCCTCCCACTCTCACTCTCTCTCCATCTCCCCATCACTCCCACTTCCACAACTTCCTCGAAACCAACCTCCCTCACCACCAAACCCTAACCCCACAATCCCTCACCACCTTCCTCCGCTCCAACCTCCGTCACCACCCCCTCTTCGCCCACCACGACTTCGCCGTCTTCATCTGGGCCTCCACCCTCGACACCTTCCGCCACGACCATGATTCCTTCCTCTGGATGGCTAGATCCCTCGCCGCCACCCACCGTTTCTCCGATCTCCACCGTCTGCTCGGTTTCGTCGCCGCGAATCCTTGCCCCTGCGCCTCAGGTATCAGAAACGGCCCAACCATGGGCCCATATTACGGCCCTATTCAAGTTAGAAAATTAGGCCCTTTTCCTATTCTTAGATTTTGTTTTTTTAGCTTAAAAACTTATAAATTTTTGAGAAATTACTAGAAATAACACAAATTAAGTATCATTTTTCAAAAATACCATCAATTAAATAATATATTAACATTTTGGTTTTAAGTTTAGGTTTTACTGATTATTGTTTAAGATCTATACTATTATTTGCGAAGTGATTTTTCGCAACGGAGCTCTCACGTTAAAAGTTGAAGTGGTTAATATCGTTTATACCCTTAATGAATAAAATATATAAATTAGACATAAAATAAAAATGAATTTAATATTTATTTGACTAGATAAGTGGTTTAAATTAATAATAATGATGAAAATTATCCATAATCTAAATATATATTTAAAACGGAAAAAGATAATTCCTATATATATTGTGTAGTTATCCGGAAAATAGATTTTGATAAAAAAAATTCAAAAACAGAAAACACATAAATAAATAATCATAAAGTAGTTTTAATTGTATAGAATTGAAAAGATATATTGAAAAATTCATTATACGTAATAGTTTTTAAATTATAAGAATATAATATAATGATATATATTTGTGAAGTTATTTTTCGCCTCTGAATCACACGTTAAGATAAATTTATTTTTCTATTTTATATAGTTAAACTTAAAATATGAATTAATCATAATAAAATAAAAGATCATTCAAAAATATATTGTATTATTATTCAATTATCTAAACTAATATTATTCTTTTTGTAAGATCAATTTTTGTATGTAATTTATCGAAAAATTGAAAGATGTATTTTTCTATTTTTTATAAATTAAGGAAACTGAAATAGATTTTTTTAAATTGACTTAAAGATAATTAAGTCCTATATATATTGTGTTGTTATTCGAAAAATATATTTAATTAAAAACATATAAATAAGTATTCATAAAATAAAATTTTTAATTGTATATAATTCAAAAGAAAAAATTGAAAAATATAATACGAAATTATTTATTAAAAGAATATAATAATATAATGATATATGTATATTTGTGAAGTTATTTTTCTGAACTCACACGTTAAATTAAATTTATATTTATATTTTATATAGTTAAACCTTAAACATGAATTAATCATATAAAATAAAAGATCATTAAAAAAGAAAGAAAACATGTGTTTGATAAAAATAAATTCAAATATATTGTATTATTATCTAAATTAATATTATTCTTTTTGTACGATTATTTTTGAATGTATATTTATCGATTCAATTTTTCAAATGGAAAGATAGATTTCTATATTTTTTATCAATTAAGAAGAAATGAAATAGACTTTAGATTTTTCAAAGTTTTAAAGGAAAAAATAGTTTTTTTTTTTAATTTGTGAATAACTTTATCATGTAGAAAAGATTAATGTTTTCAGTTAAATTTTTTGGATGCAAATAATTATTTATTTTGATGATTTTTAAATTGATTAAAAGATAATTAAGCCCGCATGTGCGGGCAAAACACCTAGTTTAGTATTAAGTGTTGGGTGTATAAATATTCTATAGCTATTTAAAAAATTAATTTAGTATCATTTTATCACAAATTTAGACTATTTATGAAAATAACTATTCATTAATGGTAAATTTAAAAAATGATATCAAATTTGTGGTAGAATTAAAATTTTGTGTGAATTTTTTGAATCCTAATGCTATTGCTTACCTTACTTGTGCCATAGGTATCTTCTCTTGCCCAAAGCTGGAACCTTTATTCCGTGGGGCGATAGATGCATACTGTAGAGCTGGGAAGATGGATTTAGCACTGTTAGGGTTTGATACGATGAAGAGATTAATCGATGGGAAAATAAACGTTGCCATTTACAACACTGTGATGAATGGTTATGTGAAGTGTTGTGATATGGAGAAAGCTTTATTGTTTTATAAGAGGATGGGGAAGGAAAGAGTGAAGCTTGATGTGTGCACGTTCAACATTCTTATAAACGGTTATTGTAAGAGTGGTGAGTTTGATAAGGCTTTGGATATGTTTAGGGAGATGAAGGAGAGAGGAGGTTGTGAGCCTAATGTGGTTAGCTTCAATACTTTGATAAGAGGGTTTTTAGGGAAGGGGAAGGTTGAGGAAGGTGTTAAAATGGCTTATGAGATGATTGAGTTAGGTTGTGGATTCTCTGAAGCTACTTGTGAGATTCTTGTTGATGGGTTGTGTAGAGAAGGTTTGGTTGATGATGCTTCAGGGTTGGTGATTGATCTTTTGGGGAAGAGGGTTTTACCTAAAGGGTTTGATTATGGGAGTTTAGTTGAGAGGCTTTGTAGAGAGAAGAAGGTGGATAGAGCGGTGGAGATGGTTGAGGAGGTTTGGAAGAACGGTGGAGATTTGTGTTTGATTGCTTGTACTACACTCGTTGAAGGGTTGAGGAAATCAGGAAGAGCAGAGAAAGCATCAGAGTTTATGGAGAAGATGATGGTGAATGTAGGCGTGGTTCCTGATAGTGTGACGTTTAACTTGGTTCTTCGGGATCTCTGTGATTCTGGTCGTTCGGTTGATGCAAACAGGTTGAGAGTATTGGCAACAAGGAAAGGATTTGAGGCCGATGAGACGACGTACCATGTTTTGGTTTCGGGGTTTTCGAAAGAAGGGAGGAGAAAGGAAGGAGAAGTTTTGGTGAATGAGATGTTGGATAAAGACATGTTGCCTGATATCTTTACGTATAATAGATTGATGAATGGTTTGTCCACAGGTGGAAGATTTTCAAAGAAGCATGCTTAATTATTTTTTTACACAACAGACATAGAAGAATCGTGTGGTTGATCGTGTGTTAATGAATGGTCTGACTGAAAGTGTGTTAATGTATAAGTGTTAATCTTTATAATAAGAAGAATATAAAAGTTGGTGTTGCTCTTCTTAAGACGGTTGTAGACCAATTGAAGGATCATTTCCTCAAACTAACACCGAGTGGTACTGTCACTCTCAGTCACACTATGAAGAGCTTCAGGCTAAAGGTAATGAAATATGCCTCTCTTAGTCTTAACTTCACCCTTGATTTCATCTCTGACATCTTTCTTAACTTTTGCATTGTTTTTCTCAGAACAAAAAGGGCATCAGTGAAGGAGGAAGAGGAGAGAAAGCTTCTCTTTACACAGAAGCTGACAAGTTATGCAAAGTGATATCATGCAAAACTATACCTCAAAGGCACATGGAGTATTATTGATGTGGTTCTATTTACTGCACTAACCACTGCTGCACTTGCTCTGTTGTGTCTGAGCGTGTTTGGTTATTTGAAGTTGACGTAACTCCTCCCGAGGGTTTCGTTTGTTTGTAAGTGGGAATTTGAGTACTAACCAAGGAGTAATCATTGGTTTTTTGGACCAAGAGTAGTTGTCACATTCGAGTACTAACCAACCAGATTTAAAATTAAAATTAAAAAAGAAACAGAAACAGTGACTTGGGAAGGATAACAAATCTATTGGTTTATACTACCTCCGTTCCTGAAAGTAGAATTTTCTGGATTTATTTTTTGTTCCATAAAGATAGATTTTCTATATTTTTAAGGTAATTTTGTATACTTTTAAGAAGCATTAATTATGAATATTTGAATTGACTGAATTTTATTGGTGGATATTTATTAAAAAGTGGGTAGAAAAACAAATAATAAATGTAACTATGAACATTTATTATATTTCTTAATATGCGTAAATAGTCTAAAAAATCTTACTTTCGGGAACGGAGGTAGTACTCTCTAAAGATTTTATGATGTCGAAACAGAGAATCACTTTCTTGTTGACAAAAGGAACAGCTCTTAACACATAAAAGCATCAAAGTAAAAAGATTATTTAGTATCTCATTCCTCAAGAGGAAAAAACAAACCAAACCTCATCAGCTTCTCCTCTTTCTGTCTCATGGCGTCCAACTTCTTCTTCTTCATCTTCTACTGTTGTTTGTTTGTTTGTTCAGAGAGGGCAACTCGGGTTTCTAGTCAATGTCCGCAATCTCCCGGTCACTTTTGGCACTTTAGGTGGTTGTGCTCTCGTCTTCAAACTCTCAAAATACTGCAACAACAATAAAATCAACAATGATTGTAGTGCTTCTCAGACACAAGTACATATATTGGTTCCAAGAAATGCAATAACTATTACCTGTTGCTTCCTCTTCCTCTCCAACTCTCCCTGTTGAAACCAAAAACCAAAAAGTAAGACCAACTGTCACAAAAAAAAAAGAAATAAAAAATTTCAGCCAAAATCAAAGATCAATCAATAGTAAATACCAATGCATGTTTTAGCTGTGCATTCTCTTCTTTCAATTGGTTCAGTTCTGCTTCCAACTCCACTGTATATGCCTTCATAAAACCCACAAAATAACAATAACAAAACATTAGCTCTTCTATGCTACAATAAACATTCAAATGAAATGATTACAAAAATGTTGTTTATAGTTAATAACCTGCTTTCTTGCTCTAGACCTTGCAGCAGACTCACGGTTCTTGATCATCCTCCTCTGCCTTCTCTCCACTACTTTCTCCACTGGACCATCCACAACTCTCTTCCTCCCTCTTAACCCTCCCATATCAACACCATACTGTCCACCTATGTTATCAACTTGCCCATGTCCTAGTCCATCTGACGACACCGGGCTTAACGGTCCCACCATCGCCATTTGCTGTCCACCCGCTCCAAACCCGCCACCACCGCCATAACAAACACCTTGCTGAACCGGTGGTGCCTGCTGATACCCACCTCCTCCTGCCCTTTTACCATAATCACCTACACCCACCGGGAAAGTAGGATCACCGGCTCCTGGAAACACACCGTAAAGCTGTTGCTGCTGGGTAGATGCGGGTATGACATTAGACGGAGTTGGGTTCAGAATAGGTTTAGGGTTAGTGGGATGCTCTCTAACCACACCAGCCTTCACTAAGAAATCCTCAAGAGTCATCTCTCCAAAAGTTGGTTGCCTTGCCGCACTCTCACCCCCGCCGTTATTAGCATTGTTTTGACCATTACTACTAGTGCTACGTCCGTTGCTGTCTCCACCACCACTACCACCACCTCCTCTATGTATCTCAGACCAAACTTCTTCAACAGTTTTCCTACAAAGAGGTGCTGGAAGTGTCAACGAGCCTTGACGTGGAAGACTCGGCTGCTTAGCTATCCCTGGCTTCTTATTAACACCTTGGTGGCTACCTGAAGAGCCACCACCACCACCACCAGCAAAGACGCCGCCGCTCTCGGTGGAACCGTTGTTGAAACCGTTATGACTAGGTGGAACGGGATGTGAAGCTGCTTGGTGATTGTTGTTGTTGTTGTTGTTCTCCTCAGCGTTCCAAATAGAGACGAGGAACTCGTCCATGTTCATGGACCCGAAGTTCTTGCCGTTCTCATTGAGAGCGTGTTGGAACTCGTCGAGTGTCAATGAGTAGATGGAGGATTGTCTTCCCAACGAAGAAAATGGATGATTCTCTCCTCCTCCTCCTCCACTAGCTCCGCCGTTATGTCTTGATGGCTCTACTTCTCGTTCTGGCATCATCTCTGTTTCTCTACCTACCATTTACCAACTGCCGATATATAACATCAAGATTACGTCATCTAGATTCTTGTATACGTAAAAAGTGATTCATACTATTACAAAATCACCAACACCAATCTTGTTGTGCTATACTAACACTAAAAGAACAACAATTTAGTGAAAAAGTCGAATGAAAGTTGCCAGGAAATTAAGTTATTTTTAATTTTTAACGGGTAAATCTTGTAAAGCAGTGGGGATTTACAGATGCGAATCACTTCAATGTTTACATGAAAAGAGGTTTTGAGATATATAAAAAAAGAATCTCTATGGTATTGAAGACGGTCCACGTGAAAATAAAGAAGAACGGTCTACATCATGACAGCGACAAGCGATTACTAAGTTTGGCAATAAACAAATTAATAATTTCTCATTTCAATAAAGGTTCCCTTTCCTAAAGAGGACAATATATCCCTACATCATTAAGCTAACTTAACATCACATAAGTTTTGTTTCCCTGTTTATTTATTTTAAAACGTTGATATTAGTTGATAGCTATATCTAACATAATCCCATAATAAATAATATAACCCTAAAAATACAACAATTAACAGTGTGTGAGTACCACTTCCTTTCATGTTTATCTACCTTTAAATAAAACAAATAGTTTTTATTCGCAGAGAAGAACCGTGAAGCAAACAAACACCTGTAACCTAACCGGACTTAATTAATCAATTTAATCAAAGTTACTTACCAAAATTAGCTAAAAATAATGAAATATTTACACTCTAAAACAATTTTCAAGCCAAGACATAAACCTCAAGATCTTGAGGATAAAAAATAACTATAAAAACCGAAAGAGAACCTGAAAAATAAAATCTGACTCCCAATAGGGGCGGCTCTGTGTTCCTCAACCACCAGAAAAACTGAGTAAGCTGCTTCTTTTATTGTTTCTTGGAGGTTCTTCTCTTTCACATAGATTCAAAGACGTCAGAGATTTTTTTTTACTTAAGAAACTTGTGTGTTTTGGTGAAGGAGAGAGAGAGAGAGAGATAAACTGTTGAGGAAAGCGGTAAAAGAGGTTAGATGATGTATTTATATTCACCGTGAGTAAGGGTGGCGCGTAGGGCCTACGAACAGTGGCGTGAAGTTAAACATCTTTTGTCTAAAGTTATCTCTTTGACCAATGAGATTTCAGAGAGATGGAAACATAGCCAAGTCCAGGTCCAGGCCCAAGATCAGAGGCAAAGAATCCGTTCGGCTACGTCGACACGTATGGTACACGTGTTGTCTTATTGTTTCTTGGAGTGTCATCTCTGAGGCTAGACACGTGTGACTCTCTGCTACAAAATTCTTAATTTACGTTAAAACTCTCTGGATTCTTTTGTCAGCATAGCACGTGAGGGGAAACTGGATTACTAGTTAAGAATTATACAACTAAAATTATATATCGAATAACACGTAAGAGTTTAACCAAAAAAAAAAAAACATGATTCTATTTCTAACATTCGCTTGCAAAGTGCACATGAATTATCTGCTCAGAAATATTTGGACAAAAAATCCGACCTGCCGGAATCGAACCAGCGACCTAAAGATTACAGCAACTACTACAGTCTTCCGCTCTACCAACTGAGCTAAGGTCGGACGTTGACAGTAGTACCTATCGTATTATTAATATTGCTTCGTTATTTTGGGTCAGTGTCCTTGTATGCTAAACGTGGGTCTGAACAAAAATCAAGAAACAAGGTCCAATTATATTTGGGCCCTGAAATTACCTATTACTTTTACCTTTGCTTACTATAAAGTGAATACGACTTCTTTTCTTATTTGTCAAAGTAAAAGAAGACGAAGGATATCTACATATAGCTTCTGGTCTAAACTAGTACTACTATCAATTATATGCACCTTGTTTTCTACGGTCATATTCCATGTTATGTAGCTCAAGACTAACATAGTAATATTGGTGTGACATATAGTGAGTAGAATTCATCAACAAATCACACTAAAACGGTAAAAAAGATCACCAACAAAGTACATTAGTAGTAATCAAAAGATCTACTAAGAAACTTGAGATATTCATGAATCTCTCAACCAGTAATTTATAGCAAATCATGTCACAAAACCAAATCAGTCATCTTTACGAGAGAGAGAACATGAGTCTTTTGTTTAGTTCTTGACTTCTTCGTTCGTCAAGAGCGTCTTAACTATGTTATCAACCATACCTGGAAAAAGCGGGAACATATGCCCTGCTCCAGGAATCTCATGGTAACGAACCCATGGCAGCTTCTTAGCAACGTAACGTTGTAGCGTCACAGGTACTAGAGCGTCATCATCTCCCTGCCACAAGTGCACTGATCCCTCCTTGTTAGGGAACAAGTTCTCAAGTTCCATTGGATCAAACTCCCATTTCCCAAACCCAACAATCATGTCACGGATCACAGTCTCATGTGTCCCTTGCTGCCTTATTTCTGCCTATAGAGATACTTTCAAAATTTGATCAAATGATAATATGTGAATGAAGAACGTTATTATATATATATATTATATTACACACCTCATGTGGCCTCCCTTTAGCACCAATCTTGAAGAGGATCTCTTTGTCAGATTTAGACAACAAACCAAGGTTTCGGGTCACAACACTTGACCCAAGGAACCACTTCTGAGAGTTCCACCAATGAGTAAGCCAAGGAGCATAGTGTGCAACACGAACCGCCCATTGATCATTTCTCGGTTGTTTATTATAAGCTTCCTTTGAGATATCTGATGGAAAGCTCTTCCACCAATAGTTCACCACTGGTGTTACAAGAGCTGCTCCAGCTAACCTAAAGAATCAAACCCATCATCTCAAAATCATTTCTTTCAATCACTAATGCCATCATTAAACAATGTGTTTTACCTGTGAGGAATGTATTTAAGACATGCCCATGTAGCTTGTCCTCCCATAGAGTACCCTATGACATAGAACTTAGTTCCTAGACTCAACTGATCAGCAAGCTCCTCTATGTCCAAAGCCAAGCTTTTGGGAGTACGGTTTAGGTCAGGATCACTCTCTCCATAACCAGGTCTATCAAATGAAACCATGTACACGCCTAATCCCTCCTTAATATCCTACAAACATTCATATGGTTTCTATTGTTTAGACTGATTGTAAGAAATAGAAACTTGTGGAAGAGTTGTAGTACCGGTGAAAGAAGAGCTGCAAAGGCATTGTCGTGTCTGCAACTATCTGATCCATGGACAAAGACGATTTTACGGGTAGCTTCATCTCTGGGAACACCATGCTCCTTGTAAGCCAAGTGTCTTCCGTCTCTAAGTTTAATTCTTGGTGCTGTGATAGATGGACCATTAGAAGAGCCGCATAGCTTTGGAGGAGGAGGCTGGAGTGCTTGATAAGTTGAAACAGCTATACAGACAGAGAACACGACCAACAGCTTGTAGAGAACACCTGTAAATCAAAGATTCAGACAAAACATGGATTGCTTTTACTACTGTCTATTAAATGAATCTTAAAAGGCAAGAAACAAGTCGTTTAATGACCAAAGTAGGTAAGAACTCAGTCATGTGCATTTAATTAGACACCTTAAACGAATATTATTGGAATATAAAACTTATGTCTACATGTAATAATTGGCAAATGATGAAGTGAAAAATTAATCAATCAAAATTCACAAAAATGGGCAGGAGGACCCACTGTAAGAAAACATCAAACAATTTTCATTGTTAAATTTACTATAAAAAATTCCTCTCTTCTTTCTTTTTTGTATAGGAGGAGGGAACATTCATGAAACGAAATTTCCAGATAAAGTAATGATATCATTAAATGCATCGTATTAAATTCAACAATCTTAATCATCATTAAACCTTTCATAAAAAAAGAAAACAATCTTAATCATCATTTCATTTCACATGACCCTATCCTGGAACCTTTAAATGTGACTGCTGCAAAGAAGAAAAGTTGAAATCTAATGGAAGAAGAAGATGTGGAACCTGAGGAGCGGGAGCTAGAGGAATCTGTCGATCCAGTAGCCATTGGCCAGATAGAGAGAAGCAGAGAGAAACAGAGAGAGAGAGAGAGAAAAAAAAGTAGCTGTAAAGTGAGAGAAGTGGTTTGGGTCTTGTAATAAACGCAAGTTTTTACTTTCAAGTTTCAACTTTAGCAAATTTGGTCGTTTCTTGGTTGTTTGGTTAACCCATTGTAATAGGAATAAGATGTGAATCTGCTTAATCCACGTCATTCGTTGATTACTTTTGTGCCACGATTTAAGAGAGTAAAAAAATAGTTACCATCATCCCTACAATTAAAGAAATAACACCCCCAAAAAACTGTAAAAGAGGTAAAAAGTAAAAATAAAAGATGTGCAAAGTTACCAATTTCAAACATGAATATAGTTTGGTATATTGAGTGGGTGGTATAATATTCGTATTATCAGGTTTGTATTTTTACAAAAAAAGATAAAAATTTTGAATACATATTTTAGTCTTACATGTGTGAACTCCCGTGACAGATTCTATGATAAAAAAGATTATATGATAATATAACAAAAAAACAATTAATCATATTTGATTTGGTGTACCTAAGATATATAAGTAAACAATTTTTGTAAACAAATATAGGAGGGCGAAAAAGAATGGTGTTGGTTTATAACACTTGTGTTTTGTTTATAATTGGTTTAAGAAAATTAAAAATATTAAAAGTAATTAAATAATCAAGTTATACTAAAATATTAATAGTATCAAATTTTAGTTACTTAATTAACAATACCCTTTTTTACAACATTAACATACTTTATCAATGAACATGCATGCTTTTATATAATATAAATCGTGTTAGGTGTACCTTCTCCTCCATCTCCATGAAATTTTTTATACTAATAATAACAATAAATAACATTAAAAGTTGACCATTTGAAATTCAATGCATTCGGATTTAATCAAATTCTTTCGAATTAATTTTTCATGACTGTTACCATCATTTTTGATTGTATATGACAATAGAGATGTTCAATACGGATCAACTAAGTTTCGTCTAGTTCGGATTCAGTTGAGTTCATTACATATTTTGACCTTCAGATCTTTTTAATATTCAGTTTAAAAAGTGTAGTAACCATTTTTTTTTTTTTTGGAACACCAACTGATAGTGTAGTAACCATATATATGGTACTTTCCTAGACTAACCGGAATCACACATGGCACGTGGTTAACCTAAACAATGCGGTTGCGAGGGAGGTAGTGAACAAGATGGCGAGGAAGATGATCTGTTCGAGATAGACCTGGAGATCGTGAATGATAGGCCTTAAACCTATCCTGTCACAAAGACATGAGGCTCTCTATAAATGTGACTAGGTCAAGCAGAGGTTTGTTTCCTACGGCATCTAGATTCTTTTGGATTTCTTTTCATAATCGTAACAGAGATTGGTAAGTTAGAGTTAGTTTAGTTCAGATTCAGCTTCTACTTCATCAATCACAAAATTTTCTATTAGAAAATGGCTTATTTGATGGGATAGAAAATAAATTTGCTACAATGTAATGTAATCAAGTAAGTTTTACGATGCTTAACTCGTCTTGTTCACAAATTTTAAAGGACTAAAACTGTAATTTAAGTTAGTTCCTAGCTTATTGTAAAACTTTTTAAAGAAGAATTTTTTTTTTTTTTTTGAAACTCAAAGAAGAATTATAATATAGAAATTCCACATAACAGAATTGGAAAGACTTGGTTAAAAAGGAATACTCTTGTTCACAGATTAAATAAAAAGCCTAATTAAGGAGGACATAAACATAGGTTGGTGGCTAAGCTCTTACAGAGGCAACTCCCACTCAACCTATGGTGATCATATCCGACCTTCCAAGTGATGTGATGGAGGAGATACTCTTAAGGGTTCCGGCTTCGTCTCTAAGAAGATCACGGTTAACTTGCAAACGTTGGAACGCTTTAGTCAAAGACCCAAGTTTCACAAAATAAAAAACACTTTTATAAAGTGCCGAGGCAGTCCCTCGTTGTCACGAATGTGAGTCATGGTATCTATTCAGTAAGCTTCAGTCTCCATGGAATTCACAACAACGTTGATCCATTTATAGAGTTTACACTTAAACATAGCCTAATCGATCCTCAGAGCAACTCAGAAGCCAATATACCTGAAGTTTTTCAGTGCAACGGTTTATTTTTGTGCCGTAATATTGAAGATAGTTTAAAGTACACAACAAAGAAGGATGAACAACCATAACCGGACTATGAATATTGTAAGCCACCATAACCGGACTATGAATATTGTCCCAATACAAAAAAAGACTGTCATACACATATTTCATCAATTGACTTATTTTTGTTTCATTTGTACCGATAAAATGATTGTTTCTGGTAAAAAAATCGTAAATTGAAATGAGGCGCTACAATTTTTATTTAGTACCCTTTTACTATTTACAAGCGTAAAATTGTAGCGCTTCATTTCTTTTATAAAATAATTTATTTATAGGAATTTGTTCCCCGCCTTTATAAAAATAGAGACTCTCCACACACACATTCTCTGTCTCTCTTTCCTTCTTTCTCTTTGCGAAAGCAATTTCAATTTCAGAGAATTAGAGAAGAAGAAATTAAAAATCTTTCGCACTGAGTTCTTCAAATCTCGGCGAAGGATGACCTTAATCCCTTCTGGCGATCAAGTAATGATCCCTGAGCTCCCTCTTAGCTCCTTTTCTCTTATCGATTTGTACTATCCTGAATCCGAGTCGATTTCACCGTAGTTTTCTAGGCGAGGAATCTTAGGGTCACAGTAGACGGTGTTTATTGTGTCGTCGTAGCTCCAATTATACTAATGAAGATGGTGAGCAAAGAGAGGCACTATTTCAGATGGGGCATTATGGAACATACACTCCAAAGACTCAAGACATAGGCTGCGTTCTGAAGCTAGACTGTTCTGTTATCTGTCCAAATACTGAAGATAATTTGGGAATATCCAGTTCAGTCACGACCACTTCTCATGTTCTTCCTGAACTGATTCCCCGTAGTATGATCTCTCTAAGTCTTGAGCCAAAATCCTTCACTGTCATTTCCTACAACATCTTGTCTGACGCCACTGCCACTAGCAGTCTATACTCTAACTACCCTCCAAATGCTCGTACTTGGATATTCCACAGCCACAACTTGCTAAGGGAGATTGTTGGTTATGACGCAGACATAGTTTGCCTTCAAAAAGTATATGGTTTCCTTGTCTTAAATACAGAGTATTTTCTTCTCTTCTCATAAGGACATCAATTCTGACACTTTTCTTAACTGACCAGGTAAAACATGGCATGTTTGATTTCTTACAACCTAAACTTGAGAAGCACGGATATGCTGTTTATTACAACATGTCTTGTTCAGCAAGGCAGATACAACAAGGCATCCTAGAACTTCAATCTGCGATAAATGGATGGTGGTGTTTGCTATAAGAGAAGGACTAATGAGGTTCTTAGTAGAGAAGAGAGCATGATCGATGGTTATTCAACCTTTTGCGAACGGGACAGATTCCACATGTGTGGGGCATACTGTGTAAGTTTCATCCTCGCCAATTCTTTTATGTTTCTTTGACCTTATCTAACTTACTCACTTATAATACGGATAGAGTTCAACAAGCCTATGCAAGACTATGGTTCGGGGGCTACTAAGCGAGTAGCCAAGGTTTGTGATAATACTATCTCAGAGTTACTTTCTTCATTTTAGTAGCTGACTCCAGTTTTTTCTTCTTACCATTTAAGATAATGTTGGTTTAATAGTACTTTTAGAGCCCAGTTTTGGTGATAAGCAACCAGCTAGTCCTCGCCAAGTAATCTGTGTGGTGAGAAGTTTGTCTTCCTCATGTACAAAAATTGAACATTTTGTTTGTGTTCAGGGAGACACATGTTTGGACGTTGAAAAAGAGCTCAAGGACGTGATGCTTTGGCACATTCACACCTTATTGAAAGGAATGGGAGAAATTGCTGAGAATTCAGATGATCTACCTATGATCATGTTTAGTGGTTTCAACATGGATCTACCAAACCAATATAACTCGAATCCAAACGATATATGGTTATTTTATCGGTTTTATGATGTGAGCAAATTAGAACCAAATTCAACGTGTTATATTTGAACCTGATCCACTTGCAAATATGCCTACTTACAAATTATGATACATGTGATGTTATATAAAAATTAGTTTTGATTCAAAATATTTGACCTGTATCCCAATATGTATTTGAACTCCCAATCATAACTTAAATTATGTTTTATATTTTATTAAATTAATTTTATATTTGATAAATATTTGATCGATTTATTTGAATAACCCGGAAGATTATAATCATAAAAATATGAATAATAACATGTTTCATCATATAATTAAATATTAATATTAATAGTAGAAAACATAAGGTCTTGGTTGTATGCACAGACACATACACACTCTAGCGCATATGTGTTATAAAAATAATATTCCTCTCGTTTAATAAAATACTAGATTTTGACCCGCGCAACCGCGCGGGTGTTTGTGTTCGTTTATAGTTAGTTATATAAACATTTTGTTTTCACTTGTAAATTGGTATATATTCAGTGTTTTGAAACCCGACCCGGACCCGCGGTTGAACCGGTAAACCCGGTGACCCAAAATAAATCCGGTTCGGGTTTTGTTAAAAACCCAAAATTTAAAAACCCGCAAAAACCCGGAAAAACCCACTAAAACCCAAAATCCGATACCGGTTAAACCAGTGGTTGAACCAATAAATAAAATTTTACTTTTTTTTTTAGTTTTTAACTTTTACTCTGTTTTATATTCTAAATTTCAAATTTAAAAGTTAGGTCATTCACGTTTTGGATATTAGTTGCTGTCTTCTTTTTTTCTCTACTCACTTCTGCGAATCTGCTCTGTATATCCTTGCTCTTCTTCTTTTTTTTTGGTTTTTGATTGTTTTGATTATCATAAATCTGTCATACTAGTTCTAAGTTCTATTATCTATGTTTTCTATTCTTTGTGGACTCATGAATGATTAGTTTATGTGATTTGGTGTTAGTTTATTTTTGTTATTGACAATTTATTACAGTGATGCTTTACTTTTGGTTTATTTTGAATTTGAAGTTTAATTTAATATTTTAGACATTTAAATATTTATAAATTTTATATCTTGATTTGTTTTAGATGTCATTCCTTTAAACTTGTTATAAGAACAAAAGTCTAAACTAGTTTTTGATATTTTGTATATTTATACATTTTATGTTCTAAAAACATTTAGAAAATATTTAACTTTAATTTATATATTTTTATTTTCATAGCTAATATATTATTAATTATTATATAATAATTAATAAAGTTTTATTTATTAACCCGTGGTTCACCCGCGGTCGACCCAGTAACCCAGTGACCCGGTAAGTCGTCCGGTTCACTGTCCGGGTCGGGTTTAAAAACATTGTATATATTATAATAATTACATATTTACAATGTGTATAGTAAATGTTTTTCAAACATAATACTATTATATAATACGTGTTTTAATCAAATAGATTGTTTCAAATTTTTTATATTATACATGTTTTTTAAACATGTGTTTGTTTCTTTTTTATATTTTATTGTTTGTTAGATTAGTATTTCATTTTCAAATAAAGTAATATAAATAGAGCTTGTTTAAATTTTAGTATACTTTAATTTGCAAAGATAATAAAATATGTCGAAGTTGTGGGGTAATTTACCCAAACTAAATGTATCCTTATAAATAATAGAAGATTCCTAAACATATATCTATTGATATATTTTGCGTTAGGAGGGTGAATATTCTGTTAGATCTATTCCACATATATATAAATATTCCATATTACGAATTTGTGATTTTTGTTAATATATCTTGGATGCATTTAACTATTATTGACATATTTCCTAATAAATAATAGAAGATACCTAAACTTATATTAACATATTTTACGTGATTAAGTTGGAAGGTGTGGGATAATTTACCCAAACCTAATTTTTAAGCATATGGTTGTTATTATAGATATGATTTTTCGTAAGATATAATAATGATAAGATTAGAAAATTTAATATAACTCTCCTTTTTAGGAATAAGTCCAAAATTTAAAAAATCACACATGAAGTAAAATCATGACTTCTGTTTTAATATATAAGATATAACCGACAAGTACCTTCATGATTCTTAGGTTAATTGACTGCAATTAAAACTGATTAGATTGTTTGATAACAATCTACCTGAACAAAGGGTCATTAGCCACAAGAAATGATTTGTCCAAAATCCCCTGATATGGCAAGGAGACAAACCACCAGATTGCCTCTTTTATATGTGAAAAAAGGAAGGCAGGTAATTTGCAAAGAACAAGCTATGAATGAGTTGATAAAACATGGAAGGGTGATAAAGAGGAGCTTGGATTAGAAGCAAGAATCTACAAAGTAAGATCCGAAGGTAACGATGAAAACACAGCCTTCTACTCTCCATCTCTTTTGTCCTCTCTTCTTGTTTCTACATCAAACCGTAAGTTTTATGTTCCTTTCTCTTATTTTGATCTATATTACATTATGAAGTTTTAGACTAAACCCTTTCCCTCTGTTCAGACCAAACACAAGTTAAAGAACGATCTCCTGGTTTTTTTTTTTTCTGATCTATGGACGTCAAGCTAACCAATATGTAGTTTAATGCAATGTCAATCTAAAAGAGTATGAATTGAGTAGAAAACTCTTTTTATGACACAGTGAATAAATACTCTTAGGGGGGGGTAAGAGTAAGTGCAGTTCTGGGATTGACAATGGTAAAATATGCTGAAGCCAAAAAGTCCTCCTTCTACTTCCCTATAGACACCTAATCGGAGAACAGACTAATCCAGAGGAATCCCTGATACCTTGCATTCGACTAAGCCTTACTTCCAAGTAGCCAAAATCCTAAAACTAACTCACCTTTTTTCTAGCTTACATCAAACCATAGTCTAAGGCAAATCCTAAGAGTGTCAGACATTCCTACTGGAATCTAAAAGCATAACCAACGCAGATATAAAACCAAATCTTCACAACTTACTCTCCGGATAACAAAAACATTAAAAAAGAAATGTTCAGCATTATTTGTCCGCATGTAATCTCATCCAGATACTCTTCCACAAAATCTAAATCCAAGAATCAAAAACACACTGTCTACGAAATAAAGACAACACATTGATAAACTCTGTAAATATAATCCTCAAGTCGAAAAAAATACAAACATTAAATTCAAAATTAAACATGTTTCCCCCATAACAAAGAGAAGCCTTTACACATCGCTCCACTATTCCCACCACAAAATCAAACAACTTTTATATCATACCATTAGTTCTCACTTAATCTCCATCAAAAGCTTCACAATTAAAAAAAAAAACTATCAATATTCCCTTAAAATCATCAAAATATAACAAGAAGAGAGAAAAGCGTATAGATCAAGAAACAAGCATACGAAATCAACCCACGATGCTCCTCCCCACCATCCGCCAAAGAAACAACCAGCGCCGAGCACGCCCTCGTGGACCAAAGCACAAACACCCCCGCCACAACAAACCTAACCGCCCCCGCCCCCTGCGGCACAAACAACGAAACAGCAGACAGAATCACCACCGGTAGCAAACAATACCCAACCAAACTCGTACACGTGTGCAGATTCAAATTCCCGTTCCTCCCTGCAAGCATATTAAAAACCGCGTAAAGAAATATCGACGAAACCACGATCCACCCCAATATCACTCCGAACTGAATCTTCCCCGCGAGTAACTGAAAAAGGCAGAGAGCTAGATAAAGAAAGATGGGACCGGATAGATCCGAGTCGTGGTGGACGGATTGGTTGATTCGGAAGGGGTTGAGGATGGATCTGGTTTTCTTCCAGATCTGATCGGGGTGGATCCCGAGCTCGTCGAGGAGAGGCTCCTCGTCTTCGAAGGAGGATGCGCCGCCTCCTCCGCCGAAGGATGCGGAGGAGTTTAAGGTTCCGGTGAATGGTCCGGAGGGGGCGGTGGAGGAAGCGGCGGCGGATCCGATGTCGAAGGACATGAAGGGGATCGCGGAGGAGGAGGGGCGTGGGGGTTGGAAGGGAGCGGTTGGGAAGCGGCGTTGCTGGACGTTGGGGTTGGATGTGGATCCGCCGGAGGGGAAGACTACGGGTGGGATTGCGAAGTCCTTCGTCATCTTTGTTTCGGAGGATTGAAATTAGGGTTTCACGTTTTCGTGTTGGGGGAGATGATGATGTACAAAGAAGAAGGCGTTTAAGGGGTGGTTTCGTTGAAATTACTGTAATGTCCTCTTGTGTGTTTTAATGATTAAGGTCCAATGGGTCTCACGCCGGCCCATTAAGGATTGATGAATTTTTATAATGTTTGTATTTTAAATAGAGAAGTAATGATTATAGAAATTGAATTATTTTACATGAGGATGATGATGATGCCTTCTTTGCAATGATCTTCTCGAAGAGATTTTTCGGGATAATGATCAAATGGGAATAGTTTTCTGAAAGTTATGTATATCACAAAGTTGACTTTCCAAGTCTGAGTTTTATGATGAATGATGATGATTTTTGCTTAGAGGACTATTTAATGTATCATCGAGATTCTTTGCTCTCTCTCTCTCTCTGTAACTTTCTCACAAAGACTTGATTTTCTATGGTGTAGAAAAATATAATTATGGAGAATTGGAAGGAGAAAATGAGTGCTTGGGTAACAGTTTTCTTGAGATCAAAATATAGTCACGGGTAATGAGTTGAGCCGCCTCTAAGTTAAGTAAAAGGTTTTGAGATCAACTCGAGCTGCATGATCTAATAATAGATTCAATAGGAACTTTTGATCACGTGATTGAAAATGGTAGTAACACTTTTCTTGTATCTCTCTTGTATCATTATCATCAATATTCAATGCTTACTACTTTATCAATACTTTACATATTACTTTGAAAACAAACCTGGATGAGGTTATAAATCTCTTGCTAACATTATAAAGTAGTGAACAAAATTTTCAAATAAACAAACGAAAATGTAAAATAATAAAAATAATAAAGATACTGGTTGATTAAGAAGAGGAGAAGGTAGTACAATGTAGTCCCTGAATCAACCAAATCCTAAAGAACCAAACCCCACATGAAAAAGGCAACAAAAGAAAATCTAATTAACATAAAAATGGAAACAAAAGTAAAATATCCCTGAGAAGATAGGCAGAGAGACACAACACTTTGTCCTTTTTGTAGTAAATAAAATTAGAAGAACTCACAAACTAAAATAACATTAACAACAAGAAAACTAGTTGATAATTGATTAATACCACTAACTATTTTCTTACATTACACTAATAAAAAGAAGAAATAAGAAAAGATGGGTTCTTCTAATTGAGCAGGGCCGGTCATGACGATTTTTTCAGTCTACCAAATCCAATTCTTGTCCTAAGAGTTGCTTCATCAGGATTGTCCAGAAGCAGAACTTGACGAAGAGAGGTTGTTGTTGTTGCTTCCTTGGTTTGATCCATTAGAGTTCTTGGTTTTGGAGAGCTTTTGTTTTAGCTCCAAGAGAAGCTGTTGATTTTCCTGGTTCAGAATCTGAGCTTTCTTCCTCAACCTTTCATTCTCCTTAATTATATAACAGTTTTGCAAGTACAGCTTCGAGTTCAGCCTCTCCATTTCGTTAAACCTTGATCTGTCACGACCAAAAAAAAAAAAAAAAAAAAAAAAAATTCAAGCTAATGTAAAATGAGAACAGAAAAATTTATTTATCAAAGCTATATATGTTATGATTACACTTGAGTTAAGTCATCGCAGTACCACATGGGTTCTGCAGCATCACACGTTTAATGTGGAATTACATTAAGCAAATGCATTTATTTCGTTTTCAACCAACAATGTTAAATTTTCTTTTAAATAAAGTTAAATACTCAAACAGAAGAACAATCATACTCTCTTTTTTTTTCCAGAGTAGAAAAGATAAAGCCACCACAAAATGAAAACAAAAATAAAGTAATGATGATGCAGTAAGTATAATGATGAAGTTCGAAAACGAAAATACAAAACACATTTACAGAAGATTTAAAAAAATGATACTGACCAAAACCAAGCAGGTACAAGCAAAAAAAAGAGAGCCAAAATGATCTTTATTAAAAAAAGAGTTTAGAAACAGAAAAAAAATCGAAAAGATGAACAAATAGGGTTTATTCGGTTGGCTTTGTCTGAAAGAAAAGGATAAATCTTTGTTTTCTATCAAATAAAGTTTTGTAGTATAAGTATAAAGCACGAAAAAAATAGTTGGGTGAATGATATTCACGTTGCTTGTACGTGAGGGGAGAGAGATTACCTTTAGGTAAGAGTGTTCGAATAGGGTGAAGAAGAAGTGAAGTGTGTTTTATATGTTTGTAAGGGAGAGAGATTTGTATGAAAGTTAGAGAGGGACAAAGAGAACAAAATGAAGATAGTGTCTCTTATATAGAGCCACAAAAGCTAGTCTCCTGACACAACAATCATGCTTTGTGTTGTGTTTTTGCTTACATGGCGGCCGAATTCGCAGCTCTCTCAATATTTTGTTTTTGTTTCTTTTCTAATAAATACTTTAATAATAACTTTGTGAGGGAAAAGTGAGAAAAAGATTTGTGTTGCGTCATGTGAATGATGATCGAAATAAAGAAGAAAATTATAAGGAAAATGAAGGAAGGTTTATACTTTCTTTGCTTAATTTGAATTTTCTTTATAGTATAGGGTTATTTTCGTCTTTTCCCGCATCTTCACATTTTGATTTGGTATGAGAGAACCGTTATAATAACATGTTCATTTTCTCACCCGCCAAGTAATCATTCACGTTTACAGTTTGTGATATCATCATAGGCCAACAGAAATTCATAGATGTCATCACAATGTTTTCAAACAAGTACTAGTATGTAGACCGGCTTGGTTTGATACTTAGACGATAGGGTAAAAATGTAATTAAAGAAGGGTTGAAACGAGTTATTGAGTGAAAATGATGATGATGATGAAGAGGAGGGTCTGTATAGGCCGTCGTCCCTTAAAGATTCGCAATGATGGTTGGGATTGGTTCGAACCATCATCATTCATGATTCAATTTTAATTTTTAGTTTGGACCATTTTCATTACACGGTTTGGTCAATGTTGGTTTAGTCAACACTGGTCATCATCAGCCATAATAACACATGTTAGAGGGCGTTCGTGTCCCATTTTTCTTCATGATCCCTTTCTTTTTTCATCATCCTTTATTTAGATAAAGATCGAAATAATTAAAAGGAAAAGAGAAAAGAGAGTAATTATGAAGATGGAAGTTAAGAGAATAAAAACTCTGTTATGTGTTGTTTATGGGTGTGTCACAGTGTGAAAATATCATATAGTTAAATAGATTACATTACAAGGTGGATTTGCTTATCTTTTTATGGTTCTTTTCGTCACTTCATCATTTAGCTTCACTCACCATCGTCCCTCGTGGACCTCGTTTGGTTGCTTAATAATACGAATTATTGCACTTTCACGTTTATAATTACTTTATTCTTTAGCAAATCTTGTGATTTTTTTTTCGAATTTTGTATTTTGTTCACGGAATAAGTTCGGAAATCGTTGAATGCATACTTTGTGAACGGTGAATGATTAGTTGGTGTGTTGTTGTTGCGCTAATAAGAGTTCCAAAATGACAATGGTTTTAAAGTTTCAAACACACAAGTTCGAACCCATTAATTATTGTGTCTTGAAAATGAACTATTAATAAATAAAAATGGAAGTGAAAATTGAATAGTGGTTGCACTTCTTGCTTACATCAAAGGCAATGATAATTAATAAGTAGGGAGGTGTATGTGTGAGTCATCCATGTTATTGTTAGGAGAATTTGAAATGATATCTCTGCTCCAAGTGGTTTGGTTCTCTTCAATTAATAAATATTTAATTATTTGCTAATTTAACAGATTGCTTTTCCTATAAATGTCTAAGCAAATAATAGTATGAATTTAGCTCAATAATCACTTATGTTTTGGTAGTAGTGATATAAGCTAGTACCCTTGAATTTTAGTTAAACAAATGCTATATTTTTTTTTGAAAAAAAAAGAAAACAAATGCTATATTGATTGTTTGTATATGCAGGACATCAAAACGTATGGTCTATAGTATGTTAAATCGCTTGAGTATGAAACTATATATTTCCCACTTTTAATCATTATAATTTGTCATCATTTCGTCCCTTTAGAGCTTTATTTCTTTTTATGTTTTGGGTCTCCATAAGGTATAAAGTGCGTCCATATTGCATTGCATGGAAACATTATCATAACATCTTCTAGCTTTTTAAACATACAACGAATAGTTAATAAAGATTTTGTGGGGTGGGAGCACTAATGATATACATGGGTCTGGAATATTAATTAAGAGATAAAGGCATTTTTTGCAGCTGATACAATACAATGTAATCTGTAGAATAGTACACATGGTCACGAAAATATTGCTTACTCTGCTACATATCTATTCGTATCATCTATAAATCGCACAGTAAGTCTGACCATGATGTAACAACAGTAACTCTCTCTTTCTTTAGTTATTCAACATTTCAACCAATATCAATTACTTATGAGAACTTTTTATATAATGATATTCCCACGAAAATCTGTATATGTTCTTGTTCTACAAATCTACCATTCTTGTAATTCGTACCTTGTTAATCATCTAGTCCTTGTGAGGTTTCTAAACTTGTTTGGTTTTAGTAGTTTCTAAACTTGTGACACCATCTAGTGTCTTGAACATTTTCAGACATTGTGATCATTGCAAGTTTGCAACTAGCGAGGACACTAAATTTAGTGTTAGTTAAACAAATTATGTATTGTTAGCATGGCGTTGGTGGAATTTACCATGCAATAATTGTTTATATATAATATTTTAATGAAAAAATAAATAAAAATAAGTCATTAGTAACCTCAGTAAATAGTCTTTTAGGAGTATTTTCTTTCCGATCAGTATTTACGACGTAAATTATCTACCTCAGTTAAAACTTAAATTCGGAACAATGACTCAGTATTCTGAAAAAATGTTCAGCCAACTAAGCTATATCAAACTTTTTAATTTATCCTTTAATTGATTTTGTTTTAAATTTGCAACGCATTCCGCTTTCGCCCTGCATTTTGGGGTTCCACTTTGTTTTGTTTTGTCTAAATTTTCTGTTACTGATATTTAATTTCATAAAAGGCAAACAAAAGTTATATAAAATGAGTTGAATTAGGAAAATAAATAAAATAAAGAGGACGCGTCGTGTTAACTTTGCTCTCTGGGTGTTACACTATCGTGCAAACTTGTATCTTTATGCACATGCGCTACTTTATATTAGTTTTTAACCAATTGGTGTAAACCATTTATCTTTATGGGTGAATTTGCTGAATATACCAAAAAAAAGTTATTTAGGAATTTGCCTTAGTTTAGGGGGAAAAAATAATAATGGGAGGAGGAGAGAGAAGGGGGAAATAGGGCATCAAGCTAAATAGGAGGTTTTGTGTGTATATGGAGTGCAAATACTCTATCTTTATTTCCATATTTTGTGGATTCACAAATATTCCAACGATTTGTCCCACGATGAATATTTCTTTTCGTTTTGAACTTGCTTAGCGAACGTTATACCGAACTTAAAATGTATGGAACATTAACCTTAACAAGTAAAAAGATGTTGTATGTAAGATCACCAAAAGCGTATGGCCAAAAAGTGTTCGCCATAGACATGGGCGGAAGAGTGTATTAGGAGATAAATATCACAAACAAACTTAATTTTACTATATAACTAGATTTTGACTCGCGCTTGAAAACGCATAAATTTTTTATGATTTAAAATTTATATAATTGAGTTTTGTCTTAATTAAAAGAATGTTTTGGTATAAAATTAGTTTACCAAAATTTGTGGTGATAGTTGTTTTTCATTAGTTTTCACTTTTCAGTTTCAGTTTTTATTTTTAGATTTTGTTTTAAATTTTGGTTTTTAGTTTTTAACTTTTTATTTTTGATTTTCAGCTTTTGGTTTGAGTTTTTAATTTTTAGACCCGCTGAGTTAGTTTGAACTGATATTACCAACAAACAAATCTCAATTAATCGAACATGTAATTTAAACTAAAAAGATGACAAAATAATTTTCTAAAAAATTTGAAATAGTTTATTTTGTAAATAAAAAAAAAAGCAAAAAATATAACCTGCGTTTTCAGCTTTTGGTTTTTGATTTTAGTTTTTAGATTTGGTTTTTGGTTTTGCTTTACATTTTTTGAAAAATCTGTAAATTATTTAAGAAAAATAAAACAATAAATTATTTAAAAGTTATCATTAAAATTTATCAAGATAGAGTGATTGTTATTTAAAATAAAAAATATTAACATGTTTTAAAGTACATGATTTAAATAAGTGATTAATAATAGATAATTTTGTTTTGTTGAAAATATTAAATATTTTTGGACTAAAAATATTAACATGTTTTAAAGTACATGATTTAAATAAGTGATTAATAATAGATAATTTTGTTTTGTTGAAAATATTAAATATTTTTGGCCCTGAAAATAGTAATTGATTTTTGAACCACTAAGGTGGAAAGTTTATTTAATGTTGTTTGGAGTTTTTCTTTAATACTAAGCCCAAAAACCAAACAATTAAATGTCATAAAAACAAAAGTAAGCCCAAAACTCTATTCCATAAATAACCGTCGGTTTAATTTAAGTAATGCGGTTCAATCAACTATATAACTTGTATTATTTGTAACACTCTATAAACAGTCAAAATTTAAATGACAACTTATATCAGTAGATAAAAAGAATGACTCTATTTTAATAGAATAGATTCAAGCTGATCCCAACCCAAAGAATATATATGATCTTTATAAATTATAACAAATACTAAGAATTGAATATAAGTTCAATAATATTCACTATAAATAAAATAGACTATTCATATGATGATAATATATGTTGCTAATATATGTTGCTGGTAAATTTATAAATATGCAAGTATGTGATGATATTTTTTCTTCTTTTTTCTTTTTGCAGTCAGGTGTATGAAAAAAATTCAAATAACTTTGTCTCATTACTTAAATTGTTTTTTTGGCTCGCAATAAAGTTGAGAATCAAGTTTGATAATTTGCACACACCGTATTTCTTAAAAGTATTATAACCATCTTAAATAATTGTAAAGCAAACCAACTAATGGTAGTTTAGTGAAAAAATATCTAAAGTATGATGTAAGTTCATCTATTCTGGGATTCGATTTCTGCTGAGAACAAAATCATTGCTACCAGTCTAAGTGTTTTGGCATTTGCAATTTATATGGTAATCTACTAATAGACGATCTTCTATGTCGAAAGACTCAACCAATACCACATATCAAAAATAAAATCTAACAAAAAAACTAGAAAAAGTGATATCAAATATGAAGGTATTGGAGATGTTATAGATGTAAACTTAAAAAAAAAATCAAAACGAGAATACGTTCCTGTGCTTAAATGTTTAAACAAACTTAAAGATTGTTAAAATCATTAAAATATTGATTTGCATATAGGGAGAGGTGAGTGGACGGTCTGGTTTAAGTTAAAGGACTTTTTGGTTTGGTCTAGCTAATTAGTACTCGGTCTAACTGAATCTCTGAATCATACCAAGTGCTTAAACAAATTAAAAAGTAAAGCTGCTTGTACGTAGACAAAAGATAAAGAAAAGCAGAAAATATTATGACTACCAGAAAAAACAAAAAAAAAAATCATCGAAATCTAGAGACTCTAAAACTGAAAACTTCTTAAATTTGAGAACGGTTCTTGTCCAGTTCTTAATCTATCTAAGCGAATAGAACCTTCATTATAATCTATTCGACTAAAATTTTAAATGCTGGAATGTAAATAGTACATCGAGTTACTTCAGCAGTAATAAATAAAAGCCTAGGAGATGGGAGACAAAATGGGTCTTAGGGTACTCACGAATTAGAAGTAGGAGTAGCCAGTCTCATAATAAACTCTCTTCTTCTGTAACATCCAATGATGACCAAGCCTCTCTAGTTATTTTTAAAAACTTTATTCTCTCTAATTTTGCTTTTCCTTTTTTAGCTAGTGCAATTATCCAAAAATTTCTTTTCATATTAACTTTTTCAGCGTATCTTAAATACCTGTTACTGAAAATTAGTGCAAGGTGAAAAGAAAAAGATAATCTGACCTAATGATTTAAGGAAGTTATTGAGTCATGGACGACAAAGTAAAAAGAGAACTTAATGAGTTCAATAAAAAAGCCAACAAGGACAAACTTATTCAATTTGACATTTAATATGTTATCAGTATACAGCGCAATCAAACTGCAATGTTTATTGTTAACACTCTCAATCGTCCCAACTAACTAGTTTTACAGATGAAGAGATTCTTTTGCATATGTATTTTTCCTATAAATAGTTAAATTACATTTCAAAATCTGGAATGGAATATTTCCAGGTAGATTACTTATCCACATACTAGTATTTAAACCACTCTGGAATTTTAGAAATATAAATCTACTATTTGCCAAGGATCAAAATTATATAATCGCAATCTCCAAAAAGTTCTTTTAAGTGGCTAACAAAGTTTTGTAATTAAGATATATCATTTTAAACAAAGCCTCAACTATGAGAAAAAGAAATGGAAAAATGTCCCCATAATCCAACTATATTAATTTGCTTTATATGGTTTGGTTAAATAGGAACAGTTTGCACAAACTCTATACTTGTGACAAATAATGGCCCTTGATGGATCATGCATCTGTATACATAGATATTTACTGAATTACTGTCTATAGTTTGGGTGTCATAAATGATTCAACTATTAATTACTTCTAGGTTAAGAAAAAAAAGTGGTAGAAGTACTCATGAGTACTACTCCCAACTTCATCATGATGATGATCAGCATCATTCACTAGTGAACCCAACTTGTTACAACCATCTCATTGAATCCTTACTCTACCCTCTTTCACATGTTCACACTCTATCCTTTAACTTTTTCATCATAATAAGAAAAAGTATAAAAAACTTGCATCAGATATTCTATAAAAAAAATTAGCGTATGGTTTTTAGATAGAAAAACACATTTAGCTACTTAATGATATAAAAGCTTACGATAAATTTGTATATCGTGATTAAATTTCTATCAAATATTTTACCATGTGGCTAGATAAATAATTAAGCTGGTTAATGATGTAAACTTTTGCACTGACATTTAGCAGATCAAACTAAATAATTTCTCTGTTTCACATTAAATGGTGTTCTAGGAAAAAAAATATGTTTCAGTTTAAGTAATGTTTTCAATTTTTTATGTAAAAATAAATATAGTTTGATGTTTATGACCATTTGTAATATGCGGTATGATTTTTTATTGGTTGAATTAGTTAAAATTATTGTTATTTTTAAGCAACCGAAATATATTGAATAAAACTATAAAAAATTGTAATTTGTTAAGTAATTGGTTTGCAAAATTTTTTAAAACCATTTATTTTGAAAGAGAGTGAGGTATTTGGTGGGATGGATGGTGTTTAGCTGTTAAGTCTCTCACTCGGGTGGAGATGTAATATGAACGACTTTTAACGATTTTTCTATGATTGCTCGGTTACTTGTTTGTTATGATCATTGGCTATGATAATACTTACGTGACCCACCTATTATTCCCCATCTCAACTTCCATCTCATCTTTACTGGTCATTGCATTTACGCATTCAGTTTGGCTACACTATGGGCTCATCTTTTTTTTCATCATACATATATGGGTTACTAGTTATAAGGTGTAAACGTAGAAGTAAACGCAAACATTCAAAGCCATACACAACTCTTAATTCATCTCAACTACAACTTCCGGCTATCAACTAGGCAGTACCGCTCTACATTCGGAATACTACTTTTTTGATAGGATCGGTTTGAAATTATTTATAAATTATACTTTTAGATATAAGTTAGTATTTTGTGTAGTTGTTTGATTTTCGATTCAGTTTTAGTTTTATATTATTTAGAAAATAAGGACCATTCGTTTTTGTAAGTTCTTTTTTTCTTCTGATTTTGGGTTGCAGATTCAATAACAATCCCAAATACTTAAAACATCCGTTGACCCAAGGAAATTCATAAATGTATGTTGTCTTGCTGTGATTTTACAAGAACAGAGCTCAAATTGAAAATAAGATAGATAGTTTTCATTCATGATCTTTTATTATTTGTACCAAATTTTAGCAATTATACAGTTCAAATACAGATGTTTGAATTGAGATTCAGGTTAGAACCAGAACGTGATGATGACATTTTCAAATTAAATATTCACAAGCTTTTATGGTTTCATCAGCATGGCTTTGATGTATTCCAAAACTCCATCTACATCTACCGTCCACGCCACTGATACTGGTGAATATCCCACCCATGGATTGCTCCCATTCCATCTACAATCCAATCAAAACCGCCATTTAGAGGAAAGGTCTAAAAGATTTTAAAAGAGTAAAATAAAAAAAGTTTATTATAGTAAAACCTCTTGAGGCCTTGATCCATGAGTGTATGGCCAACGCATATTCCTTGTGTCTCCACCCGAACAACGCCTTTCTTGTATGTGAATAGATCAGGCCGAACTACAGCCACAAAGCTCACCGGGTCATGGAGGTACACTCCTGAAAACCAGCAACAATAAAACTCTTTTCAATCAAAAACTTGCAAGTTTCTTTCATAAGCATATGTTTTGATCATAGTTTCTTGTTTTTCTTTTTTACCGTAGACACCATCAGATTTGACGTGCCAGTCTCTGTAGAACTTGCACATGTCGCTTAACAGTTTAGCGTGTTTCCCCTTGGACTCACGCAGCGCTAAGAGGTCATCATCTGAAAAAACATACACTTGCTTTTAGGGAATGTTAAAAGGGAGAGAAAAGAGGAGGAGAATCGTTTCTTCACCTGAGAGTTTAAGTTGGGTTGTGATGTTTATCCCAACTACAGTGATATCAGCTCCACACGTGAACACCACATCAGCTGCTTCCGGGTCATTATATATCTGCACATAGAGGCAGCAGAGTTACAATTCTTTTCATTAATAAAAGAATAAAGAAGAGGTTTAGAGTATGCTTTTTTACATTAGCCTCAGCTGCAGGATTAACATTCCCTAAAGAAAAGAAGGCTCCACCAAGTATAACAATCTTCTTCACCTTACTCGCAAATGAACTATCACGTTTAATGGCCTAAACACACGAGAAAAATGATCAGAAACACAAACTGGATCATAAGATTTAAAGAACGAGATTGTTATGAGTCTCTTACTATTGCTAAGTTGGTTAGAGGTCCAAGAGCAAGAACGGTGACTTCACCAGGATATTGAGAGACTTTCTCAACAAGAAACTCAGCTGCACTCTTCTCACATTTCTTCTTACAAGGAGAAGGAACAGAGACGTCTCCAAGCCCGTTTTTACCGTGCACGAAATCAGCAACACGTGGAATCCCACCCTGAGAATCAACAACACAAGATAAGCTAAAGTCACAAATGCTCTGACGATTCCCATGGAGCAGAGTAAGAGAGAAAAAGATTGTAACCTTTAAAGGTTCTAAACTTCCTTCAGCGACAGGAACATCAGGGAAGCCAGCAATCTCACACTGTAAATGATCAAATACAAAGAGATCACATACACATTCTCAAAAAATAAAAAATAATTTATATATACTGAGATTAAGTGATGGGGTTTGTTATATACCAAGAGTAAGGCGTTGCGTGTAGCATCTTCTGTCTGAACATTACCAAAGACAGTAGTGAGTCCTAATATCTCCAGCTCAGGTGTCTGAAACGCCATCATTATCGCCATGCTATCATCTAAACACCAACCACATGATACATTATTCTCATAACTCAGATTCTCCTATTGATTATAAAACTGAAGGAAACTAGTTTCCATTACCGAACTCAATAGCAAAAAAAAAACTAAACATAGTAACAAGAACCTCTCTTCTAGTTATTAAGCAAATTTAAAGATCAAAACTTTGCAAAGATGGAGTTCAGATAAAAACAGATCCAAGTCAAACCTGACATACTAAAGGCATCCTCAAGATCCATTTACTGTATGTCTGAAGCAAAAAGAAAGAAGCTCACCGATGCCTGGGTCTGTATCAATAATTAGCTTCTCACGGTTAGAAGAGAGACACGAAACGTCACCGTTTGAGATGCCACCGTTGCAATTCTCCATAGTAGAATCCATATTAACTTGGATTTCTCAGCAAGTAAATGAAATGTTAAACCAAGTGAAACGATCTTTGTCGTGGTTAGAGAGTTTGTTTCGTGGGGGTGTGTATATATATATAGACGTAACAGATCAGAAAGGCGTGAGCTTTCACGAGATATAGAGGAAAATACCTCAAAAAGGCATAAACTTTTTGAAAAGGTGGAAGAATCGAAGTGGATGAGCTCTGTAAATTAGAGAGAAAAAAACTAAGATTTATGGAGAGAGATTGAGAGATACGTCCAGCTATGTTTTTCTTATTTTATTTGTTTTTTATTCTCTTCCTATTTTTTCGTGGTGACAGATGGAATATATTACTTTTGGATTAATCTTTTTTTAAGGTTTAAACCACGTTTTATTCCCACGATAAACCCTTTCTCAAATTAACTTTTACTTCAAAAAAGTAAAAAAAAAAATATGTATTGTTCCAGTTATGGTAGGTTGTTAGCCCCGAAAATAACCAATTTCTTTCTATTTCTTATAAAAAAACTTAAGCCAGTTATAATTTATTAGATTATTTATTCTCAAATTGTGAAAGCCATCTTGTTTGATGGTTCGGTTGGTGAACAAAAAACGTTTTTTAATTAAAAGGAATCAAAAGAATGAAATAGGGATCCCCATAAGATGCATACAAGTTGAAAAAGAACAAAAACTAGTGTTTGGAAGTTTGTTGGAAGGAACCTTTTTTTTTGTCACATGCCAAGTTAGCCAATTATATGTCACCGACGAAGACGCATTGACTACAGTTCAGAACGCAGTTTGGTGTATGCGTTACCCATTTTTATTTTAGTAAATACAAGCCCAAAACTTGTATTGGGCCTCACATGAAACCCAAACGTACATTAGCTTCTTCTTTTCTTTTGGGTTTTAAAATGAGCGATTAAGCTTCATGATCTTGTGAAAGTAGACGTTATTGGAAATCAATTCAAAACTTTGAATTAAGAGAAGAATGTTGCATTATGAATATCTCACAGGGGTATATAATTTTTTTACAAATGTCACATTTTAAATAAATTTGAAGTATTTGTTAGATTTAATACTTGTTTGTTAATGGTTAAATTAAGAGGACATAATTTACTGAAAAAAAGAAATTAATGGTTCCTTGCCGACAAAAGAAATCAATAATGAGAAAAAGCATAAATCAATAAACAATTTGAAAAGTAAAGTTGGGAACATAACATGGGATGGACAAGAGAATCTTGGCGGCCGAAATTGGGGTTTTATGCCAATTGTTTAGCTCAACCAACCTTCTCCACTATCTCTATTATTATTGTAACCATTTTATTATCATGTATCTATTATATAAAGTAGAGCATTACTCTCTCTAAAGGGTGCCACGTCGGATGACACGTAAGAAAGTCCACGTGGCCACTCTGTTTCGTTTTGGGTCGTGTTATTTTTGTGTAACTTATTCGCTCCTCTGCAGATTGAGACAACAAGGAGACGAAGAAGAGGAACAAAAAGAACCAGAAAGGAAGTTACGAGGAGGGTTCGATTAGGTTTTTGAGTCAGTCCAGAGACGTCAATGGCAGCGGTGGCTGCATCCCAGTTCCTGATGTTTGGTGCGGTCCAGGACTAGGGTTCTCGACGGATGCGGTGTCGATGGATCCTCCGAGGATAAATCTTTCACAGTTGCGTTGCAAAACCGACGTGAACTGTTCGAACCAAACAGAGGTAAAGGTGGTAGCTTTATGTTCTGTATATCTAATTGCAAGTTAAAGTTTGAGTTTTTTTTGTGGTGTGTTTAGTTTTATTACATTGGTTTGTCTCAGTGAATAGTATCGGTTTAGACAGAAACTGTTTGGAGTATAAAGGTGGTAGCTTTATGTTCTGTATATCTAATTGCAAGTTAAAGTTTGAGTTTTTTTTGTGGTGTGTTTAGTTTTATTACATTGGTTTGTCTCAGTGAATAGTATCGGTTTAGACAGAAACTGTTTGGAGTTGTTGGAGCTATAGTCGTTGTAGCATCCTTATGTTGTTCTTGAGGACCAACAAACGTCATCTCGATCTGGTTCGCTCAAACGTCGTTCTCTCCCCGGATGTTCAGTCCAAAATTGCTCCAGCAAGTAGTGAACCTTACGCCATAACAACAGTACGAGGTACTAAAGCTGCAACAAGCTCTCAAGCAAGACCACATGAGGAAGCCTACTTAGCACTGAGGTTTTTGTCTTATATGCAATGCTTTAAATGAATCTCACCTTGCTTAAGAGCTGCGTTGTTTTTCCTTCTTTCTTTTTTTTTTTCTTTCTTCTCTGTGATCTAATTCTTGCTAGGTTTCCTCCCTCTTCAATACACAGGGACAAGCAACTGGTGTTGGTCGGTTTCATTTGATTGAAACTTGCACCGACGAACATATTTTTACACGCAAATTACCATAAGAAGATGGGCTCTCTCTCTCAAGTATACGCCTGCTGGCAAGCATTCTCTGCTTCCTCAGCTGAAACGGCCCTGTGACTAGCTTTTAGAAAATGGTTAGCTTAACATTTAAAATGTACTTGATGTGTTCCAGCTTGCGGTGCTATGTGACAGATAATCAAATATGTATTGGTTTTGGGTGTAGGGAGCTGGTGGACCAGAAGAGGAAGATAATTGATGGCCGCCCTGCCTGAAACCTCTGCTTAAAGAGCAGTTCTTTGTTCACTGCTTCATGTAGACTCTCACAAGGGTGATGAAATGAAAAGTTTATGGTATCTTCATCTGTACTAAGCTATGCCTTATATATTACATCTCTGTTTTTTTTTTATTAAATGAAGTTCCACCTTACTCTTCTGTCTGCATACAACAGTATTCAGTCATTCACGGCTTCATGCTTCATCCCAGCTCGCCGTGCCAATCACTACCGTTACTCCCTATGAGAGGGGTCCATCGTCAAAGTTGATCGGTTTGAAGTTTGCCGATGCACTAATATGTAGAGGAACTTCATGCTCAGGAAGTTAGATCATCTCAAATCTCTTGCAAACACTAACTTAGGGCTCCCCGGTATAGTTTTCAATAGAGTTTCCCTACTAAATTTCAGCGACGATCTATATATGCTATGTTTTTCTTATTTAAAAATGTTTCAGTTTTCAGATCTGCGTGGCAAAAACGTTATGTTCAAGGCTCTGGCCTGAACAACTCTGAAGCGATCACACGCATTGTGGTCCATCTACTCATTGACTAATCCATGCGTTTACATTCTCATATTTTAAAATCCTTGCCTCATGAAGGTTTTTAAAAAGAAAACTAATTTAATCTCCCATGACAGTTTTGTTGCTGTGTACGGATGACCCTGCTGCAAAATTTATTGTGCTTCTAAACTCAGGTGATAAATCCGAGTCTGTAATGGTGGTCACTACGGTTTAATCCAAAAATATTTAGAGCCTTGGATTTATGGTTCAATAGTAAGGAACAGACATGTTTATGGTCCATTTTTCCTGCAATCTTTAAGGAATAAACATGTTTATTGCGCAGTTTTTATGTTTACTACTCTTTTGTTGTTTCAAATGGAATCAACTAATGTTAGCAATGCTGTTCTCCTCAAGACACAGGAAGCTGATTTTATTTGTAAGGCTCAGATTGTTGGTTCTTCCAACAAAATGGGTAGTCCTTTGTATCTTGCACCATTTTGTTTTGTACGGCTAAAAATAATCGTTATGGCTGTTGATGACGGAAAGACAGTGCCACTTTGTGGTATTTGACAGAGAGCTGGCAAAACTCATCAAGAAAGAGACAACAAATCTGGCTCTTGATGAGGTATGTTTACCTTTCACTATACGGGTTTAAGTTTTTATACAATTGTTTCTGTTACTGTAAATGAACCCAAAATGTCTTGAGGAGCTAGCTGGGAATGAATATGTTTTTCCAGCTATGCGTGACTCCCTACAATCCCTGTTATTTTGAACTCCGGGAGAGATGGGGTAATCTATGTACTCACAGTTTATTTAATTGCTGATATAAATTAACACTCATGTGCTATTGTTTCTTATTGCAAAATGTATTACTTAGATTGCTCTCTTCGTCTGGCCATCACAAAGATCACCTCACCATCCAATCCAAGTGTGTTCTGCTATAATCTTAATTAGTTTTTTGGTTGGTTGTGCTCTGTGGTTTAAGTTTTCAATTTGTATTGATTGGTTTTGGCAGATAGGTCGATCTTTAGGTCTATATATCAATAGCCTGCCACAATGCTTGGATCCATAACTAGAAAATATTTTATCTCTCGTCCAATCAGTCAATCTCCACTTATAAAAAAAGGTAAGCCTCATCCATTGAAAATCATCTTCACATTCCAATAGCAATAGAAGTTTCTCAGTATAAATTTTTTATATGGATTGACACCGACTAGAGTATTTGGAAAAGGTTAGTGGAGGAGATGGTGGTGGTGGTAGCCAACATCATGACGGCACTGAAACTGATAGGAAGAAGTAACGTTAGCATCGTCACACCGCTCAATAGATTCAACAACTTGAATCGTATTTTCTTTTCTCTCACTCATTTTTTTTTGATTCATACAGTCTTATAATGGTTTGAATCTCTTGCAAGAATTTCAAGGAGTGTCCTCATCCACAGGATAAGCAGATGAACCAACTTAGCAGAGAATTGGGGTTTGGCTCCAAGACAAATCAAGTTCTGTTCCAAAACAGAAAAACTCAGTATAATGTTATGTGTCTTAATCTCTCTCTTTTGTGTGTTTAAAATTTTGTCTGAATAAGATTTGTTGATATTTTTTCTGTAGGCGCAACATGTGAGAGCAGATAACAATGCACTAAAGGTAGAGAACGACAAGATTCGATGTGTGAACATAGCCAAGTCTAATAACTTGGCTACTATATCAGACATGGACAAGCCTCCTATGAAAGACATTGCTTTGACTGCGATGGAAGAATTGCTTAGGCCTTTTAACACAAACGAACTTCCTGGACTAGAGCTGATGGTGGCGGCGGCAGAGACGTTCTCAATTTGATGCTCAGGTTTATATGTTTGCAGAGTTTAATTGACTATGAAATCGGTGCTGGTCACTGCTTCCTCAGGAAGTAAAGATGCTCAAATAATAGTCTGTTAGTTACGAGCATGAAAAGCAACAAAATCGTGGTCTTTAGATTCTCAATGATGTATGTATGATATTATTTAATTTCAGAAGATGATACAGAGACTGTCTCAGATTTTTGAAGAATGATAGTTCTTTGTCCATCAGGCTCACTTGCACGAAATCTCTAATCCCTTTTCTCTAATCCCTTTTGTCGCTATTATTTGTTGTATCAATGTAAAGATAAAAGGCCATGGTTATTTTCATGAACTTTAAATGAATTCAGTCATGGGAGCTTGACCATTAAGTATATGGAATATATTACTAGATTTGTCTCAAGGTTGTTTTGAATGAATGAATCAAAGACCATTTCTTATGAAAATTATATTCATCGAAGCACATGAATACAATAATTAATAGCATTCATAATTAACCTTCAGTTACTCATTTTTTGTTCACAAAACCCATTTTACAATATCATAAATTTCATGCTACAATATAAACTTTTTACTCATATATATATAAATTAAACAAAATATTATAAATATTGAAACTCTTCAAAAAAAATAATTCATATATAACTAATCTTAACATACATAATCCTTCAACACCGGCCCTAACATTCTAAAAAATGATAAACATTATTATATACTTCACTTATCAAAAGTTTACATAACACAAACAACGAAAATATACAATTACATTACCTGTAAAACACAAAGAAAATTCAAAAAAAAAACATGAATTACTTTAGAGATGATTTGAAGTTTTAAGTCATATTTGCGAAAAATCCTTGAATAAGTTAGTTTAGTGAAAAATATTATAAAACTAAACATTGAAACTAAAATAAATATTAAAAAATATAATACTATTTATCAAAGAATAGTAAAGGTTACTGTCATTATAATTCAAAACAAAAATATTTATTATAATGATCTCATAATTCTTTTATTATACTATATTTTTTTTATCATAAATGTAATGTTTATGCTCAAATCATTTGATGAGTTGAACCGGTGCTTTTTCATATAATCCAACATTCTTCTCTTGACCTGAGTTCCAGACAAACTGCCCTACTCTCTGTCAAAATAGCCTTTCTTTGTAAGAGACCAAAGGTGTGTTGTTCAAATTCACTTAAACATGTCACATGGTTAATTTATCATTTAGTGTACAGGCTGTGATCATTGAATCCTTGAACTAGAAACCATTCATGTGACCGAAAGCCAAAAGTTATCACACAATATAATCCATGTACTTAACTTTGTATCCTCTGACGACTAACGCAAAACATACAACAACTTATATTTATCGAAGTTGACTATTTGAAAGGTCGCAACAAATCATCTACATAGCAGATAATAAGAATGTAACTCTTCAGTAAAGTTGTATATTTATTTTTAATAAATATGCATGATCATCAGTTCAACATAAAAGACCTATACAAGGAATAAAGGATATATCATCCGAAGCTGATTAAATATGAGTATTTGATCGCTTTCGTAAAATTAATTTGCTTTTAAAAAATGATTATTTGTAAATCATTCAGGAACCTTTTTTCTCCAATAAACTCTTAGGAGAGGATACACTATGACTTGGGCATTGTTAGATTCTCATAATGCACCATACCAATATTTAAGTGACACTAACTATGATGCGTCCATGGTTTCAAGAAGGACTCATGGATGCAAACCAAAAATCATTTCCTAACAACAACTATGTTGGATGATATTCTTGTCAGCATATATTATGTTGTTGTCTAACTATGCTGGAAGAATAAAACAACACGAAGGGAACTTAATTAAGTTAATTAAAAATGATGATCTAGCTAGTGATAAAGATTGTAGTCACCATGACAAAGATTTGGATAAAATGCAAGTTGCTATCACTGATAAAAATAATAACTCCATGAATTGAAAATAAACAAAAACAAATATCATAACTACACTGTTGGGCAAAATTTATTGTTTTTATACCCCATATGGAGACGTTTGAAGATATATAAATTGTAATTATATATTCATACAACTTTGTATAATATAGTGTGACGAAAAGGAGAGAAAGAGAGAGGGGGGGATAAGATAGAGACAAGTCTGAACAAGTGGACTGAGAGGTAGAAAGCCAATTTGGCTCCTCTTCCAACCTGTATTTTCACTTATGTGATCATCACCCTTACACATTTCAACAACACCTATCATAATATAAAAATATTTGACATATATATTTCTATATTTTGTCTGGTTATCACTTCATTTCCATTTCTTGATAAAATTTCAAAATAATGTTACAATTAACATAATACGATAATGCTAAATTAATAGACCCAATTGAAAGACAATGTCTTAGTTTTGAGTTTGGTGGCAGACTCCTAGCTTTCTTTTACCAACACGATGTCAATAATATATTATATCGTCACACCACTAAACAAAATGTGAAGTAATAAACAAATTTTATTTTTTAAATACTATAGTGTATATAAGTGATTTTATAAATTTGTGTGCATCACCATTTTCTATCATCATTTCGCCGTTGTTTTCTCTCTATAGTAACGTGTAGTATTGATCTATAAATCTCTCTCTTTCTCTCTGCGCGTTTCACCCTTTATAGAAAAAAACCAGTGAATCATCATCATCATCTTCTTCCTTCTTTCTTCTCCAAAAACAGGTTAACAAACTAACTAACTTCTCTCTCCATTCTTCTCTTTTTATAATCTCTTCTTTTTTTTTGGTTGCCATATTACATAACTAATTAATTACATAATTGATTGTCTGTTTCTTTCTCTCAGATTTCCGACCAAACTTGATCTGTTCTGTCCAAAGCTTATTCATGGCGGAAGAACATCGATGCCAAACGCCGGAAGGCCACCGTCTCTGCGTTAACAACTGCGGTTTCTCCGGTAACTCAGCCACCATGAATCTCTGCTCCAACTGCTACGGCGATCTTTGCCTCAACCAACCACAACAAACCTCCACCAAACCAACCGTCGAATCCTCTCTCCCCGCCGCATCGGAGATCATCGAGTCCGTCTCATCAACGTCTTCAACGGCGGAGAAAAAAATTCCGGTGATTCAGACGGCGACGGAGGAGAAGCAGGAGGAGCCACCGCAACGGCCTAACCGATGCACGGTGTGCAGAAAACGGGTCGGTTTGACAGGATTCATGTGCCGGTGCGGGACGACTTTCTGTGGGACCCACAGGTATCCGGAGGTTCACGGATGCACGTTCGATTTCAAATCGGTGGGGCGCGAAGAGATCGCGAAGGCTAATCCTTTGGTCATTGCCGCGAAGCTTCAGAAGATATGATCTGAGCCGTTCGTTGGGTTGACTTTTCTTCTCCTCTCTCTCTCCCCGCGTTTACCGAGACAAAACCTTTATTATGCTCTCTCGGTGTATCTCAGCCGTTCATTATGTTCAAAAATTATATGTGTTGCGGACACGTGTTATGCGATTAAAGGTTGAGATGGTTGTTACGTTACTACATTCACCTTCCAATTATTTTCCTTTTCTTCCGAAAATAATTTAAGTTATTATAATTGTGTGGAAAAAAGATTTTCTGGTGGGAGAAAAAGAAAAGAAAATATATAAAGTTGTGTGTCTCGGTTTTTATTTTTACTAGATCCTTTCCCGGGCTACGCCCGGATTTATTTTCATTGATTTGTTATTTATTGTAAAATATTATGTTATATATTTAAAATTTTGTTATTTGGGACAGTGTACTCTGATAAATATTTACTTATTTAACACAAATGAAAATGGTACAACTAAGAATTTAAGTAATATAAACACAATTCTTTTTCTTTGATTTCCTTGATGCCATGTTAAAATTCACATAACTCTAATGTGAACTATTTTCATATATCCAATGTTTGTTTAATGATGTCCATGATTTTTTTCTTTGAAACTTCCATGACATCTATTGAGACGTCGAAATCAAATTTTATTGAGGATTTCAAGGTGAAAAGGAATTTTCCTGCAGTGTTTGTTAAATAGTTACAATTAAACATTGCTTATTGTTATTTAATAAACCAAATGTTTTATTTTTAATTGAGGCCATGTGAATGGAATATAGATGTTGAAGGCAATAAAACCTTTGGCATCAACATCTTTTATATGTGAGAGTTGTATATTTAGATTTGATAGTTATCTATTTATTATTTATTTTATATTACATTTTTTTTTTGTTTCTTGTCTTATTATTGTATAGTTGTTTTAAATGATTTATTGTATATGTATTTAAAACCTGTATCACTAAAATGTAAGTTATGCTGTATCAAAAATATTTTTGTTCTTATATTAAATAAATTAACATTAATCTAGACTGTTTAATTGATATCTAAACTGTTAATAATGGTGTGAAAAATAACCTTTGAGACATCATAATAACACTAAGATATGAATACATGATATTAAACGTGTAATTATGTTACCATTTTTTTTGTTCATCTCTCATATCTATTTTTCTACAGAAAGTAATTCATAAGTAAAAACTAAAATACAGTATTTTGATTATAAATTACACAAAGTTACTCTTTTAAAATGAGTATTTTCTAATTAGTATCATTCAATGAAAATGTTAGTTTAATTATTATTTGTTTAATATCATCAATTCTAAGTTCAACCGAGACATGTTTTTACTCTGTCAATCTTTGGGATTGTATTATTTTATTTTCTTTGGTCAAACTTCTAGTTATAATTTGTCTAATGAATATTAGATGTTTTCTTTTAACATATTTTTTCTATTGCTTTTAGATCCACTTATTGATAGGAAGCTAAGACGAAGTCTCAACCGTGTTTACTGAAATTTAAAGAAAAATTGTAAATTAAACCGATGCACTGAAACTCAGCTATGGTGACCTCGACCAAAACAACAGGCTCAGTGGTAATGGAAGTGGTCTGCTTCACTACACCCGGCGACGACGCTCGAATGCATGGAGCTCAAATATGTCCTATGTGTTAGGAAAAAAATATTAATTCTATACTATTAATTTTATGATTAATTAAATAAAAATATAATGTATATTTAAAAGACCAACATGTTTTTCTAAAGATTTTGAAAAGTATTCTATTATTAATGATATGTGTCCATAGTTAAAATGTTATTATATTTCTTTTTAATATGTTAGTGGCTTATCCATGCTACATATAATATGTTAGTCATTTGAGTAATTATTTCAATATTTTTTATTAGTTGTTTAAATTTGAGTAATATAAATTTCAAAGGATATAATTTGTTAGTCATTTGAGTAATATTAGTTGTTTAAATTTCAAAGGATAAAAACAGTTTCGTTGATTAGATTTTTTTGGGAAAAAAATTCAATAAAATGTTAACTAAAACAAACAAAATTAATATTTTACATTTAAAGAAAATCAAAGTTGTAAATCAGACAAATAAAACTCTATTCCTGAATTTTTAGTACATTTAAGTAAATTTAGGCAACAACTGCATAGGGTAAGAAACAAAAGCAAAACTTCACACGGATACTAAACATAGCCATTTCTAGATATGGTTTGGCCTTAATCCTGTCTTTGACATGAAACTTCCTTCTAGCATCTACAGCTTATCTGTAGAAGAAAGAAAAGACACTTCAACTATCTTGAAAAAAAAACAATAAAAAATCAAAACATCATGAGACTTTCAAACAAACCGGAAACGCGTTGGCTGCTGCATCGATGATCTCTTTGCTGTAATTATTCCCTCCTAAAAAGCATTGGCTGTCTCATCAATTTATGTGCTTCCAGCACTCCTGGTGAAGACTGACAGAAATTAATATATGAGTAAATATCCCTAGAGAAATCAAAATTTGAAAAAATACAAAGAAGATTCCATGTTTGTTATGTAGTTAAGAATTTGAAATTTCTTACGTTTTAATGTTTAGAGATCTCTTCAATAGGTGTCAAACTTCTTCTCCTGAGTCCTGAGGTTCTCATTTGAAAGAAAGAAACACAATTATACATGTCCCTTAGTAATATGTTTGCCTTAAAGACTTTACTCTTTCTTAAGAGTGATTATTTCTGTAGAGTAACATCATGAGAAACAAACCTGCAATAAGGCATAAAGAATCTTCCCATGACTCATTGTCTCAAGGGTACCAAAGAAATTCCTCTGAGTTCTAGAAGTAGTTTTAGTGTTAAATACTTGTGGGTAAGCGACATAGCGTCAATGGCCATCTGGAAATCCTTTATGTAGAACACGTCTTGTCCTCTTCCTTTTGCTTCCATTCCCTATTGCAAAGAAAGCTTTGCCAAACTCAAATAGTTTGAAACGAAAGAAACTGTTGTTGACAAACGCAAATTGTTTTTCACGATAATAGATTATGATCTTACTATTTTGGAAGGTTGGTCAGAGATTCCGAGGGCGGGAATGCTGACTTCACCCGAACACTCAAAGACCCTCACGACAGAAACTCAGACGCACATTTTCACATTTGTTTCTACTCGGAAGAGGAACGAAAATCAGCAAAACCGGACCCTGAATCAAAACAGAAAATCCATTAATAGAGATAAAGTCACACTGAATTGTACCAGTCTCATATCAAAGATCTATCGATTCCCATTGTTCAATCTTTGAGAGAGGAAAGAAAGATTGTACCTTTAAGGTTTCGGAGATTTCTTCATCAAGAGGAACATCACTAATATCATACACGATTTGTGGAAAGAGAGAGTTATAAAGAAACTCAGACAGAGGAAGGTGAAAGGGAGCCATAAATGAGATTTAGGGAGGTTTGATTGCACAGAGATATATTAGAGGAAGCGAGGAAAAGGAAGAAGAAGCAACGAAGAGGAAGAGTAAAGGAGAAGAGGAAGCGACGGAAAGGAAATTCTGGAAGTATTCCTCGTTTCATTTTTTAGGGTTCTTCCCTAAAATTGGGCTCCAATGGGGCAGAGAAAATCAAATAAAACAGATCAAAAATAAACGATAAGCCCAAATGATATGCATCGTCTGTGACGTGGCAGAAAACTCTATCTCTATTGGCTGATTAAATATGCATATGTGGAGAGTCTCATTGCTCTAGAATAAGAGCTTTTAATAGTGTTAGATTTTTTTGTTTGGGAATGTTTTATATACCGACAACAGAAAGACGGTCTCGTTGTCAAAATATTAAAAGAAAAGAAAAAGACAGTTTCATCACCTTTCGACCGGTTAGCTTTTCGGTAGGACATCTAAAGTCAATGACATGAGGTCCAAATGTTTGTTTATGATAAGATCAGAAGGAATTTCGTGCTGCAACCAAATGGCCAAAGGTGGAGTTTGGACAATACGTTTATTGCTTGAGATTAATCCATTTATAAAAATGGAGCTTAGGTTTTTGATGCTCATGATCTGAGTCTAGTGTTTTCTGCACGGAGATACATTATTTTAGCATAAGATTGTGTGTACTGGCAATGAGCATAGGTAGACACCAAGATGGTTAATTACTACAAGAAGCTGAGGATTCATATAGTCTTTATAGCTACAAAGACAGTCATGTCGCATGATGTTGTGTAATGTGTATAAGTACATGTCTTACATCATCAAGAATAGTAGTGTGTTGTGGGAGATGAGGAAAATGAAGCGAATTGAAAAGTAGTATCCAAGCCTTTAGATGTTTTCATATGTTACTTGAGTTATTCTATTCAAATTATATTTTATCTTTTTGCATACCTTTGTGTTGACTTTGTATTGATCGAAATAAAGAGGGTGTTCTGTATTCTCTAACAATATTGATCGGGATTCACTAATAAGAGAATCTACCAAAAGACAAGTATTGACTTTGTTAGAGCTCTTCAACTTCAAGTAAAATATATCTTTATGTCATAAGAATTTTTCAAGTAGTTTTTACAAAAAAAAGAAGAATTTTCAAGTAGTTGATTAAATAAGTATTCGAGGACCCTATCAAAGATTCAAACGCAATATAAGATTAAATATACACACGACTTTTTGATCAATTAATTTTTTTTTCTTGTGGAATGATGTTCATATCACTGATGAAGGATGGTCTTCTGTATTCTCTCTTCTTCTACCTGATTCATAATTTTAAATAATGCAGATATTCGAAACTCATAATGAATCCTGGATATCTCCAAAACCTCGACTACTATTAGATTAGATGAATAGCCACGTCATATTTTATAAAACAAAATCCAGTACATGAAACAAGTGTGTAAACTGTATACAAAATGATGTGTAGCTCTTATTAATGCGTTACGAGAACATTCACTTAAACAATAAACCGTTAGTAATTTCTTTGTTCCACTGTATTCTAGTCTGTAACGCATTTTAACGATGTTTTTTGTAATTTGAAACGCATTTTAACGATGGATTTATCACGTGTAGCTAGAGGAACAAAACTGAAAGGGGCATAGTGACAAAATCGAAACTATAGGGGCAAAATACAAAAGACCAAAATTAGTGGTGCTGGTTAATAAATAATAAAAAAACACAACCAGAACAGTTAAACTAAAAAAGAAAAAAAGAAAAAAGACAAAAGACTTCAAAAAGTCTTCTGCTTCTTTTGTTTGATACTTTGATTCTCTTACTAGCTTCTCCACTTTTGTTCTTTTCACGCTTTTTTTTCCCCTAAATTCGATTGCCTTACTGTTTGAATCATTACTTCCGCACCCTCAAAACCTCATCTCTCCGATGAGATCTCCATCTCCACCGAAACCGATTCCCTCCATGTCTCCTTCTTCCATCTCAACAATGAAATCTCCACCTCCTCCAGCAGATACTTCAATGGCCATAGTGGCTTACGACAACTCCACCACTCACTACTCTTCTTCTTCCTCTCCTTCTCCTCCACACTCGCTCAACGGATCAGACGAAGAAGAGAGACGTAGCAGCAGAGCAGAGAGCAGGAGGAGCAAGAACTCTGTAGTAAAGGAAGAACCTTTCGCTACTTTGGATCACGAAACTCCGTCTCCGATCGTTGTGGTTCACAACAACTCTTCTGTGAAGGAGTTTGTTGCGACGACGACGAGGAAGAGTGCGCGTGTTGGCTCTGGAGGAAGAAGAAGCGGTGGTGGTCAACGATCTGGAGCTGTGTTGGCGATTCTGAAGAGGTCAAAGAGGGAAAGAGTTGTAAAGTATTCAGCTTTAGGGTTTAGGTTGAGTGAAGTTGTGTTGGCTTTGATTTCTTTCTCGGTTATGGCTGCTGATAAGACTAAAGGGTGGAGTGGTGATTCTTTTGATCGTTACAAAGAGTACAGGTATGTATTGTTTAAGCTGAGTCGCCACTGTTGGGTTCCTGAGAAGCTATCTAGATACATGTTGATTGTCTTACAAGTTTGGTTGAATGAAATCACATGAAAGACTTATACTTTGGTTGAATTTGATGTCATGAAGGTCTTAGGTAGTTTATTTTATACCTAACTTAATATTTATTGTGATTCTTTTGGTATTGTGACAGGTTTTGTCTGTCTGTGAACGTGGTTGCTTTTGTATATTCTGCTTTTCAAGCATGTGACTTGGCATACCATCTTGTCAGAGAGAAGCACTTTATCAACCACCACCTTCGACCTCTGCTTGAGTTCATCTTAGATCAGGCAAGTCATCGTTAACTTCACTATCTTTCCCTATTCCTTATGTTGTTATCTTGTACTCTCTCTATGGTATTCTCTATGACAAGACATAGTTGTATATCATTCCTGATGCATTTTACTTGGAACTTCCAGCTAGTGTAGTTACCCTTGTCTTCTATGTAGTTCAAATTCATATTGCTATTCACATCTACTTATGAATAAGAAATGTTTTTTGTGTCCTGAAGAAGATTGGTTGATTTTTATTGTTGGCTATTCAGGTACTTGCATATATGCTTATATCAGCATCAACAGCTGCAGTGACTCGTGTTGACGACTGGGTTTCAAACTGGGGAAAAGATGATTTCACTGAGATGGCGAGTGCCTCCATTGCTATGTCTTTCTTGGCCTTCCTTGCCTTTGCTTGCAGTGCCCTCATATCAGGCTACAACCTCTTCAACCAAGACTCTCTCTGATCGTCCCCCTACCTTTTTTTTTGTGTACAGTTAAGTCCCAAGAACACACACTTTCTTGTGTCAAAATATATATCTGAGAAATAAAAGATCAATACATCTTTTTTAGCATTATAGTTATTAAATTATTTTGGATTTTTGTAGACATAAAAGTTTCAGGAAACTGTGTAATATTTGAGGTTAATAAGAGAGACATAAAAGACCTTTTAATTCTGTTGTGAAAACGGCAGATTCCAGTTCTTGAGATGTATGATTGTTAATGAGACCTCAAACTTGATTCCTTTGTGCATCACTCTAAAACTAAAACCATACTGAGAAAAGATCAGAAGAGTGAGGAAGATGGTGTACATGGTTTAGTAATCTTCATGAGGTATATCTGGCAAGTGGCAACATTGTTTCAAAGTCTAGGTGGTATCAACAGATCATTCAGTTCCAACCATTAGGAACATTTAGTTCTTATACTAGGACAATAAACGAGTGCAGTGTGCGTATTTGACTAAGAGAGAATAGTTGTCTTCTCTGTTTCCTAATGGTTGTCTTCTCTGTTTACTAATGGTTGTCTTCTCTGTTTCCTTGTCTTGAGCTTTGACCAGATTTTGGGCTTTGCTGACATAAGTTCATCTTTCTCCTCTTGGGCCTTAACTAAAGAACACAGCCCATCACCTCGACTTGAGTTTAACCGAAAACTAAACCGAGTTGTTAAGTAATTCTTTAAACCGAAATCGATTCTTCACAAAAAGAAAAGGAATGCAAAGCTTTGTATAGGCTCACCTCAGAGAATAGTTAGATAAGCACACATCAGACCAAAGAAAGAGGCAGATATTGGGCACTTGTCTATTTTCTGACAGTTTTGTTCCCTAAATAATTGATAGCTTTGTCATTTATGAAACAAAATTCTAATGTGTGGTGCTCATAAATCTACTGTTCATATGATGTAATGTATGAAATATAAATACAAGATGGAAAATCACAAACAGAGTGGATTCAGAAACAAAATCAGGAGTGATATAAAAGAGCCTAGCCAGCACATAACAACAACTCACAGTGTTATCATCGGTTTGGTCGTTTAATCCATCTTTAGGATTCAGAGTTTATCTTTTCATACTTATTAGGCTGTTATTATTAGTAGATAGACTTTTACAGATTTAAAAAATATTTTTTGGTGATTCAACTGATATTTGGATAGGGCCGGCGTTGGTCAAAGCCGGATGAAACATTAGCCTCGGCCCCCAAAAAAAATTTTTAGATCCCCAAATCTGTAGAAAAAAAATTTTTAGGTGAAATAGTTCAAAAATCGTCTTAGGCCCCATAATTCTCAGAACCGGTCCTGTATTTGGAAGATATAATAAAAATCACGTAAAATAGGGAAAAATGTAACTTTCTTAAGGTTATTTGGTCGGCAAAAACAAAACAAAAATGCTAACAAAAATTATGGAAAAGAGAGTTTGATGTGAAACGTAATAAAGACAAGTAACAAAAATAAAAATAAAGACGTAATTTTCTCAGCGTAACATGAGACCCGCAAACACATATGCTTTGGGGACCCACCCTTACGCCTTTCAACTTTATCAAATCACACAAACAAACATTTTCTTCACTGAACGCTAAACACCAAAAACCAAATAAAGAAGACATTTTTACACACTCTCTGTGGAATCTCTTCAAGCTTAAGTCACTAGGGTTCTTTTCTGGGGGAGAGTCTCCATGAGTCTCTGGAACCTATCTTGCCTCCTAATGTTCTTCTTGGGTACATCTTTCTTCTCTTCCATCTCTAATGGGCACTGAGCTTATGTAATGTATATATAGTGTGAGCTTTTGAGCTTCTTCATTGTTGTAATACATCTTGGATTTGATGTGAATCACTTTTAACTCTCTTCCCATGTTATCTTTGAAGTTTGAATCTCCACTTTCAGTAACTCTTATTACCATTCTGTTTTTTAGCTTCATGAGATCTGGGATTTGAAACTGCTAGATTTGGTTTTAACATTATTTTATTTTAGTTTTCTGGATTCTTCATCTTCCTCTTTTTTTGACTGTGTACTTGATTGGTCCATCTCAATCTCCATAAATAAAAATGTCATCTTTCTGTTTGTTAAAGCTTTTAAAGTAGCTACCTTTACTTCTGTAGGGTTCATTATTTTGAGCCTATAACTATGATGATGACTTTAACTGTTCATTCCCCTTTACTTCTCAAACTCCTTACTTTGATCATTGCCTTTCTCTGTTACATATTCCCTTTTAAACTCCATTAACGTTGCTCTTTGTCTTGGAATATTGTTGTTTGAGTATTTCTAAAAGAATCTTCTCCTAGTTGCTTCTTGTTTTAATCAAATGATTGTGATTATTACAGGATGTTGCAGTATGAACCAAGGAAGCTGAGTCTCTCACGGTTTTCTCAGTACTTGTTGTGGTGTCTGAACTCTGGGAATGATATGAGCATGAGAGTTTCCACTTGTTTAAAGCTGTGTTGATAAAGTAACTCATTGCTAATGGGATCGTTTGCGGGTGCTTGTGAAATTGTTGAGGAGAAAGATGTGGTGAGGTTGGCTAAACATTCTAGTAGATACTGTAAACCAGCATTGGGATCATCAAGCAAAGATATGGAGCGTCCTGTAGGTTCTATGGAGTATGACATTGATCAGCTTTTCCAGTCTATATCTATAAAACAATCACCTGGAAGAGTGATGGGATCTTCTTCTTTCCATCATCTTGAGACTAGTGCAAGCGCTGGTACGAGTAGGAGCACAAGCCCTTCGAAGAAAAGTGCTATGAAAAAGCCATTTCCTATGGGAGTCACCCCTAGATCACCAAGAGTTGGTCCTTCTGATTCAGTTTCATTGAAGCAGGCTCTTAGAGATCTTTGCATCTCAAAGGCATCAGAAATGGCTGCTCAGAAACGGTTGTCAAAATCTGCTGCTGCTTCTCCGAGGGTGTCTGAAGCAGACAGGATAAAGAGTCTTTATAGACAAGTTTTGAATGAATCTGCAGGCAGGTCTGGCCTTCCTGTGGACAAGGGTAAGAGCTTGGTTGAAGTATCTTTGACGCCTGTAGACGATATACCCAGCTCTTCCAAGAGTGTGCCTGATGTCCTTGAGACAAAGCCTTCTAAATTCTTGTCTGAACCATCTCAATCTGGAAATAGATCAGGATTGCAGTCACTGAGAGAGACTGTGTTGTTGTATAAATCCAACAATTCTGGATCTTCACTCAGTTTTGGTAGTGGAGATTTTGAGATAGACTTTGAAGAAAATGCCACATCTCCTCCTCATATGGTCATTGAAGATGGTGTGGTAGAAATAGACAAACATGTTACCTCGGTGCCTTCATGTTCTGGCAGCAAAGTTGATGCTGAAAAGGAGCTAGAGAAGAGCATCTACTTATCAGCTAGAGTGCAAAGTGAGCCAAAAGCTGTGAAATCAGGGCTAGAAGGAAAGCTGGATAATGTACCTAGTTCAGGAACAGAGAACATCAAACTGGTAAACAAGGTAAAAAGAAACATCCCACGTCCCAAACCGCGGCCAAAAAGAAAGATTTTGGTTAAGAAGAAGTTAAGAGTCGTTGTAGCTTCTGCTACAAAAATGGTTGAGGAAACTGATACTTCCTTAGAGCCTAGTGCAAGCCAAACTCTGTGCCAGAAATGCCACTGTTCGTTAAAGAGCATCACCACTGAAAACCATCCGCCAACAAACGGTCTGAGATCTTTATCAGAAAATGTCAGTAATAAAGAGACCAGCAAGGAGTCCTCCAATTCTTGTGAGGTTAATGATAGCAGAGAAGCTAACATTGTCATGCAAGAACATGCCATTCAAACCAATTACAGTGAAGAAGGTGATGTGAATGAACAAAGAAGAGAGAATCCAACTTCCAGCGACAAGATTATATTCTCTTTGAGCTCAAAGGATAGCATAAGAAACTACAGCAGTAGCACAAGCATGAGTGAGGAGAGCAATCTTAGCAGGTTTAGCTGTGGCAATAAACCTCACATGTCTATGGATGTGAGATGGGAAGCAATTAAGCACGTCAAGTTGCAGTGTGGCCCTTTAGGACTCCGACATTTCAACCTTTTGAAGAAGCTTGGTTGTGGAGATATAGGAACAGTTTATCTCGCTGAGCTGGTTGGTACTAATTGCCTGTTTGCCATAAAGGTCATGGACAACGAGTTTTTGGCCAGAAGGAAAAAGACGCCGAGGGCACAGGCGGAACGTGCAATACTTAAAATGTTGGACCATCCTTTTCTGCCTACCTTGTATGCGCAGTTCATTTCAGATAACTTATCATGTTTGGTAATGGAGTATTGTCCCGGTGGTGATCTTCATGTCCTGAGGCAGAAGCAGCTTAATAGGTGCTTCTCGGAACCAGCAGCTAGGTAAGATTACGTTTCACATTGTTACGATTAGCAAAGTAGATGGTGATAATGTAGTAACAATGATGATTTGTATTGTTGACAGGTTCTATGTAGCAGAAGTCCTCCTTGCGCTCGAGTACTTACACATGCTTGGTGTTATATACCGTGATTTGAAACCAGAGAACATTCTAGTTAGGGAAGATGGTCACATCATGCTTACAGATTTTGACCTCTCACTCAGATGTGAGGTGAACCCAACTCTTCTCAAAACAACTTCTCATGCCGGGAAAGATCCTGCAAGGATGTCTGGTCCATACAACACATCCAACTGCATACAACCTCTATGTATCGAACCATCATGCCGTGTCCCATGCTTCAGCCCAAGGCTCTTATCAAATTCAAAACCAAGAAAACAGAGAAGGCCTGATCTTTTGACACAACAGTTCAGATCATTGCCTCAGCTTGTGGCTGAACCAACCGAAGCAAGATCAAATTCTTTTGTAGGAACACACGAGTACTTGGCACCGGAGATCATTAAAGGAGAAGGACATGGTGCTGCAGTAGACTGGTGGACGTTTGGGGTCCTTCTCTATGAGCTTTTATACGGGAAGACACCATTCAAAGGTTATGACAATGAGGAGACATTGTCCAACGTTGTGTTTCAGAACCTCAAGTTTCCTGATAGCCCGCTTGTGAGCTTCCAGGCAAAGGATTTGATCAGAAGGTTGGTGATGAAGGATCCAGAGAGCCGTCTCGGGTCAGTGAAAGGAGCTGCAGAGATCAAGAGACATCCTTTCTTTGAAGGGTTGAATTGGGCTCTCATCCGCTGCGCCATTCCCCCTGAGCTGCCGGATGTATATGACAATGGTGCAACGGAAGCAACTTCTCCTCAAGGGAATGGTAATGGGTATCTTGAATGTAAAGCCATGGGAGATCATCTTGAGTTTGAGCTGTTTTAGGGGATAGAGAAAAAAGACAATACAGGTCTATGCAGACAGAAACTCTCTGGTTTAAGTTATCAATAGTACCGTTCTTGTTGTTGTAATCCATTTCAAAGTCTAATAGGTGAAGTTTGCCTACCTTTTTTTTCCTTGAGGTCCATGAGATATAAGCCGCCAAAATTCATATCATGGTAACCAACTTACATTTTCATTGATTGTCACGGATGAATTAAGTTGAGATAATGGAAGTCTTACATATACGTGTATCTTTTTCTCCTTGACTAGAAAGAAGTTGTACATAACTTGTTGTCTATCATGAGATATAATTTTCTTGACACTGTTTTTTAGCTTTGTTGTTTGCAATGGTTATGCTGATAGCAATCTTGGTGATCTTCTTGGCAGCTACTTGATGAGTTTAGAAGGGTTTTTGTATTCTTCTTGTGAGTTTCATGGGAGAGCTAGTTGACATGTCAGAGAGCATGTGCGGAAAGCCTGATGTTTGATTGATTGGTGTCAAATATTCAAAAGAGCTAATAACATTTGAGACCCTGGTGCGGAGAAATAACACCAGCTTGATTGATTCAATGGAAAACTTCAATGCACAGTAGAGAACAAGTTGTTCCATTAGCTTCTGAAGAAAGTCTATGGGTGAAGCATATTACATGGATACTTCTTGGGATGAAAACATTGTAATATAGTGTGAAAAAAAAAATACAAATACAAAACAATAGCTGTTTATTCTTGCCGCATCTCGTCTTTGCTGTCTCATTTAAATCACGGGTTATACTCGTAGTGACAAGAACCATGACCTGTTCCAGTCATGTCCGGGATCAGACTACTGTTGGTTCACTATCTGCTAATATTCAAAAAGATTCAATTACAAAGAGAAAGAGAGGGAGAGAACTTACTTGGGTCAAGCTCAGTGATCATGGCAGCACCTTTGAAGTAACAAGAGCCACCTTTGTGCTTATAAGTTTGGTAATAACTGTTAAAGGCAACGGAGGCGTGATCCCTGATTGTGTTGGGCAAGAAGCAAGGCTGGTTTTGCTGCTGCATTTTGCTGCAGTCTGCTCCGCCTTTCGAGCAAGCCCAGTCTAAGGCTGCCTGCAACTCATCCTCTGGTGTTTGTTCATCAGCTATGCACCATTGTTCTGACTCTGCATCTGTGTATACATACATACATCTTGCATAAAAGGCAAAAGGACAAACATATTGGTGCATAAAACATTGTGGTGATATTGTTACCTGACTGTTGAGGAATTGTCAAAGCTAGGACAAGCAAAGCAAGAAGTATCCTCCTCATCAAGAAAGTTGAGGCCATGAGTGGAGCAGAGAGATTCAGATCTGATCTTGTTAGGAAGTCTGAGAGCTACAAAACAAATGAGCGCAACTTGACCCTTTTTTATAGTATTTACTCCAAGATCTCTGATTTTAATTCTTAAATGTGAACATGATGACTTAAGGAATATTGGTTTGCTTCAGATGCAATCATGTGCCATCTTTTAACTGGTTTTGAGGAAGATTTTGTTCTGTTTGTGGAAAAGCTTTACAGAACAATACAGAGTCATTCATACGGTTCCCATAAAGGGCCATTACTATTACTACACAACATGCAAAAGCTGTTTTTACTTTTTACAGTTAAAAAAGATAGATTGGGTTGATACAAATGAACTGGTTCTTGCCTTGATTTACCAATGACAAGTGACAACACAAAGTTATTTGGATTAAATTTTTTCCTTACTTTCCATTGGCTTCAAGGCAGAGCAATATATTAAGTAGACGCTGAGATTTGGATTAAGTAGAGATAATGGAAATTTTATTAGATAGGTATATCTTTTTATCCTTGACTAAAAGAAGTTGTACATATCTTGTTGTCTGTCTATCAGAGATATGAATCTCTTGAGACTTTTAAGCTTTGTTGTGTGCAATGGTAATGCTGATAGCAATCTTTGGTAATCTTCTTGGCAGCTACTTGATGAGTTTACAAGGGTTTTTGTATTCTTCCAGCAACTTCGGAATGTCAGAGAGCGTGTGCGGAAAGCCTAATGTTTGACTGATTGGTGTCAAATTTTCAAAAGAGGTAATAACATGAGGAAGCTATGCAGTATTACCTCGGAAGAAGTCCATAACATATACATCTGACAGCCATTTTTTACCATCCCAGCCGCCACACCTGCCAATTAATGATCTAGGTTTAAGCCAATGCATGCAACAAAGCTGATGAACGTCTAAAATTTATGATACTCACAACACGATTTTCTGGTTCAACAATAGCAGCGGCAGCAGAAAAATGCACGAGGCGTAGGTAAATCGCCAAAGCTGGTTAGCTCAACCGTGTTAATATATACTTGTTGTAACAAACGTTACTAGATTAATTCATTCATTTTTGGTGAAACTCTAGGGATTAACCAGATGTTTCGACTCCTCAATCTCGACCTTCGTTGAACCAAATTAATAAAATCATGTTAAGAATGATGTTCAGTACGATCACTATCAAAGCATCGTTCTATCTCCAGTTCAGACTATGAAAATCAACTAAGCACACACACACAACGGAGACATCTAAGAAGATATGGTTCAACATACAAATGTATTTCAAACTTAGCATTACAGTGAATGAGCATGCAAACGGATCCAACAAAATGTATCACAAACATGATATGTAAATTTTAAAACACCAATACAACAGAAAACGACTTATTATATCACATCACACAATCGATAGTGGGTACTGATTCCGAGTAGGTTCACCTGAAAACCGAATAATAGATAGTTGAGACTTCCACGCTAAACTTCAAGGAGAATATATAACCCAACAAAATGAACAATATTGACATTATACTAAAAATATATATTGTATATACCTGAGACAGTTTTACTTTCTCCTTATTCGTTGCCATGATAGTTTAATTGAACATTAGGAATGTGTTGGACTTTGTGGTAACTTTCCCCACCTGGTACGAGTTTCGTCTTCCACTCCTTGTTCTCATATGTGATATCCAGTTCCTTTAATGAAGTTATATACTTCAGCCCTTCCGGTAGCTCCTTCAACTTTTCACAATAGCCTATAGACAAGGTATGAAGACATGGCATCGACCCTTCTTCGATTACCCACTCTTCCAAGTTGTCTAGGGCCCATATATTTAGCTTACGCAATTGAGGGAATCCACCTTTTGAACACACCATCTTCCTCCCCACGAAAGCATTTTCATGTAATTCAACCGACTTTAAATGAAGCAAATTTTCCAGAATCTGCAGTGGATCCTCCTCCATGTTACAATTCTTTAGAGATATGTGTGCAAGGTGGGGAGGAAATCGAGAGTACTGATCAGGAAGGCTTGTCATATGTATGTTCAGCTCTAAATACCTTAGATGAATGAAACTCCAAATGAAATCCACATCATAAGCCCCATCGGATCGATCCAAATCGATCAACATAAGCATCTCAAGGTTTATTAATTCACAGAGAGATGAAGCTAGAACTTCTGAAGTATACCTGCCTTTGAGAAATATCTCGAGATACCTGAGCCTAGTCATCCGGCGGAAGTCGGTGATGCTACCGTCTTCTGATCGGAAGGGGCGCAAGCACTCCAGGTTCACTAGATTACCCAATTCCAACTTTGTTTTAGCGTCAATAAAAGGGGGAAGCATCAGGAACCTCAACTCTACCATCTCTTTAAAGATATTTGGCAGATGAACTTTTTCCAAGGAGTAAAATTTCAAAAAGATTAGAAGCTTTAGATTCCGTAAAGAAGAAGGTAGATGGGTTGCACTAACCATGAGTAAGCTCAAATATCTCAAATGAATGAGCTTTCCAATGCTGGAAGGTATTCTCCTTCCGCTTATATCAGATATTTGGAAACTCATATCTAAATGTAAGACCCTAAGCAATCGTAAATTTTGGAATCCCTGAGCTGATTGCTTCCAAAAGTTGCTGTCGAGTCCAAACCCCAAAACAGATCTAGCTTTTTGATATTTTTTACATTCCAGCATATCAAGTGCATTACCACCGTGTAATACGAGTCTGCGTGATCCAGTAGGAGTAATGGTAGAGTTGGAAGTAGGGACTCTGATAAACTGAAGAAAGTTCTCTTCTTTGGCTTTATTTAAACATACTTCTCTCATCATGTCATGCATTTGACAATGCTCCCATCTGCAACTCAAATCATCTTTTACTGCAATAACCATATTTCTCCTTACTAACTCGTCTATGTAATCGTCTCCAATTTTCCTAGTAGTTGCTCCATCGCAACTTGACGTTATTATTCCTTCTGCTTCCCAGAGATTACACAACCTCCCCACTTGTATCTTGTAATCTTCTGGAAAATGAGCTAGGTAGAGGAAGCAAGGCTTCAACTGCATTGGCAAATCTTCATAGCTCATAGACAATACTCGGTAAACCGAATCTTGTTTCTTGTCATCTATGCGAACTATCTGAGTTTGAATATTGTCATAGACTCTTTTCCACTCTTCAAAAATATTTTTATTAGCTAACAAACCTCCCAGCACTTTAACGGCTAATGGTAGTCCTCCACAATATGTGACCATTTTCCTACCCATGTCTTCTAGTTCTTTATCAACAATAAATTCTGAAAACAATAACACATATTATACGATTAGAAACTTGAAATAATATGTGTGGTCATTTCAGTTCAACTACGGGTTCGGTTGGAGTTGGGTTTGTTTTAGTTTATTTGGATCTAATAAAATTTTAATCAAAATCAACCCAAATTAGTTTGGTTTGTATTCGATTTAGTTCAGGCTCATTTGCATTCGGTTCGGTTTAATTCGCTTTTGTTTGTGTTTGTTCAGTTCAATTGAATTGATCTTTTGATTTTGTTATATTTCAGTTACAAAATGTAATTTACAAAAATATAAGCAAATCATCATTTGACACTAAACCATTATTTTTAATATTTAAACGTAAAGCTAAACATCACAATAAAAATGTAAAATATATAATCTAATAGTTTCATGTTATTATCTTCAAATCTAATATAAATATCATAGGTAATTTTTGGTTTTAATGTTAATGTATGAGAATCATATCCTTTTCTTTTTTTGTTATGTAATATTCTATTCATTTAAAAATAAAATGTATAAATTATATTTAATTTTTAGGCTAAATGGTTAGATATAATAAATTTCAATAATATTAGTATACTTTGGTTTTTGGTTCAGTTTATAACCGAACTGAACCGAATTATTTGGTTGATAAATTTTGAAACAAATGGTTTAGAAATAGATATTTTGTTTGGGTCAGTTTGGGTGTATATATGTCATCCCCTATATATTACTTGAGAAGCATTACAACATGTTTTTGTAGCCACGTGTCATTATGGGAATGCTTCTCAAATTTACTAGAGAAAATGTTGATCCATATATAAACATATAATATGCTTTTTATTAATCTAAGCATAAAACTATAATTAATTCTATTCATTATTTCCTTAAATAAAATCTACGAAATTACCTAATATGATTATAATATATATATGACCATTCATGATTCGAATATGAAGATTTGATAAAAAAAAATTTATAGCCTCTACTATTTTTATTAAACCTATATTGTGAAATAAATTAAACAATAATATTAGCTATATACAAAAAAAAATAGATGTTTTGATATATGTTATATGTTGAACTTTTTAAATGACTATAAACTAATAAAACATTTAAAATTTTTCACATATAATATTTTTATTAGTAGTTTAAATCTCCTATATATTAATCCTGGAGCACTACAACATTTTTTTGTAGTGACGTGTCACAATGAGAATGATTTTCATAATTCTTAGAGAAATATGTTGGTCCAACAAAACATATGTTATATTTTTATTATACTAACTGTCATATCTAATTAGTAGTGTACAAAATAATATTTCCTATTATTTCCTTAGATAAAAACAACAGAATTACCTAATATGATTAACATATATATCATAATTAATCTTGTAAAGATTTCATAACAATTTTTTATCCTCTTTACTTTTTATTTAATTTTATATTATTAAAAGAAGTTAAACAATCACATTAAGCATATAATAAAAAAGATTATATATTTTCTTATATGTTATATTTTGAATTTTGTAAAACGACCATAAATTATTAAAACTGGTAAAAACATCACATTGAAAATTTTGTGATCAATGATAATATTTTTTAGTTCAGCCAATCGTTTTTCTATGGCTCTTAAACAGTTTATAATGATTAACTAAATGCATCACACATAATAAAGTGTGTTTCTGTAAAAATTATTGCATACCCAAAATCATTATGAATCATCATTCCTTTCATTTAAACATTTATATATGGTTGGGCAAAAAAACTGAACCCAGATAAGCGAATCAAATCTAATCCCAAAAGTAGTATAAAT